TTTATTGTAAAAAGGGGGGGGTATAGGGTGGCCTAACGTTTCTGTCTCATCATACCAATTACAAGAAGTGATAAAATTCTAATTATAACATTATATTGTTCCATTGTATTATATAAACATACAAACGTACTAAAAAACTCTAATGTATTAATCACATTTTCCTTATACAGGGCTAACATTGCCTTCTTATTTTTCTGCATCGACGACCATCATAATCATCATCGCAAAAAATTAACAGCTTTCTTTAGTGCAGTGCCAAGGACGCATGGTACCTCCTATCTAAGGTTTACATTTCTCATGGTGTTTTTTTCACCCTTAGGTCAAAAATTCTAATTTAGTATAATGGATTGTCCTTCAAAAGTGTTTTGATCCACAGTAATGGGGTCCCATATTTGCCTAGTGCATATCTTGGTAGATGCTACGATTATGCTATGTCACTTGGCCCCCCGTATCGTGGCAGTGTCACACCATTGTGTACTAGAGATGTCACTCTGAACAAATGTCAATCATAAAGGCATTGTTAACAAGGCTTGTTTTCGCGATTCGTTCGCAGTGAGTCATATTTCTTTCGTGTAGAGATTCAACACATGCAGAGGACAGTTCTGTGACACGCGCACTGCTTACACACACAATAAGATGTGTGGAATTCTATCATCTAAGGAAATGGAAGGAAAACTTTTCAAAGACCACTTCTCATAGTCGCTGTTGTTGTCGCATTATGCTGCTTGTCTTATCAGCTTCCTGTCTAAATTGTGCAATCACTCGCTTTCCTTATCTTTCACTGCCGTGTCAAGAATGCTTTGAAGTTAGGGTGCATCAAATATAGCTTGGCCTTCATGAGAAAAAAACACATGTTATTCGTTAGGTATATTTAGACTGCCGGACCAACTGTTTCCATGGCCTTAGTGTGGTGAAGATCAGACTTTTTATCACATCAGAATAATCATGATTATTCCAAAGTCAGAGGCAAAAGCGTCACATTAGAATAGATTCTGAGATTATTACTGATGTCGATATTTATGTTGGGTTTCTTCTAAACTTGTCCTTTGTCTAATAGATCTCTCGAATCAGTGATACCACTGTCATACGTGTACATACTAGTAATTAGTCTAAAGGCTGACTCAAGAGCACACTTCAGACAACTGTTATTTTCTTTAAGAAATTACATTTTTACTGCTACAGAAACAATCAAACTTTCTGGAAAAGTTAGTTTGATATTAGATAGTAAGAAATTGAACAATGTACAATCCAGTAACTGACTTGTGCCCCTCCAAGTTGCCAAGACAATTACTTTTGTGGATTCAGAAAAAAAGAATCTACAGAACCAGAACAATCACTTCTGCCATTCATACTGCCTTTAAAGACGAACGACATAAAGATATAAAAAAACTGTTCAAGGCAGTAGACGTAAGAGTACATCTCGTCTGATATATATATACTAGTAGCTATAGTGTACCTTGGTGATAAAGCGAATAAGGTTCCATTATATGAGAACCTTTCTCTTAGATTTACCACTGGTGTAGGAATGCCCTTCCCCGCTTTTACTTTTTCCTCAACATTCTTTCGATCTGTTTGATTAATTCTAGTTTGTAACAAATATGTCTGCAGACACAATAATGGGGGAAGATATTTCAAGCCAACAGTACAATTGTTTGAACTACATTTCAGTTTGAGGCATTAGCAATACCCATGCCCAACATAAAAAATAAGAACTGTATATTTCGGGCCATCTAAAATTCCTACAACAAAAACATACAAACCATTGTTGTCTATGTTGTCTGCTGACTATTTTCCCGCTACAAGTATCTATCGTTATAACTCAAGCAACAATGACACAAAACAAGGGCTTTTTGGGTACTCATCCTGTTTATAGCAAACCTGCTGATTTTTTAAGCAACTAAAAATAGCTTAATTTACAGCTATATACTCGTACCACATAATAAATTTAAAAAAAAAACTATATACCAATATAGACCTATATATCTCATCTTTAGGGAGTTGGGTGGCAGGGATTACTTTTTAATAAAATGGACACCTTCCAGAGGTGGTTCTCTGGACCACTAGAACAACGTTTTCTCAACTCAGCAGAAATCCTATGTTCATAATTATCGACATTGTCTTGATAATACTTTTTCGTGGTCTTGTTCGACCCTAAGGACAAATATACATATATAATTATGTAAATTAGCACAATGGTCTGTCCTTCAAAAGTGTTTTTCCTCCACAAAAAATGGACCTTTAGTATTTGCCTAACGCATTTATTGATAGTTGTTGCGATCAGGGCATGTCGCCTGGTCCCTGCATCGTGCCAAAGTCCTAAGAAAATGCACTGTCACTTTGAACAAGTGTCGAAACGCAAAGTCCAATTCATATGGTCAGATGTTGTTGATTCATTTTGCCGCTTTTCTTATCAGCCTTCTGTCAGCCTCGCTGTTCTTATCTTTCACTGCAGTCTCAAGAATGCTTTCAAGATAGATTTGAATATTTGAAAAGAGGTTGGTGCAATTAACAAAGTAAACAGCATCGAACTCCCTTTTAGATACGGCTTTGAGTCTAAAGAGTATAAAGTGACACCAAAGGATGGGAAATACAGCGGCAGCAAGTTTTTAGAGATTACGTGAATGAGAGAAAAATGCCGCGCAACGTGTCAACTATCCAAAACAAGACAAATTTACTATGGAGATATGCTCCGACTAAATTGGGAGTGGAAATCACTTTTTAACAGAATGTCTAGGCAATCATATCCATGTAAAAATATAGTAATATGATAAATTGCTGCATACTGTAGCAAGTTAACGTTATGTATCATAAAAAAATTGCCAGGGGAAATTGTCTTTTACCTTTGCGCCATACAGCCCCGTATAGTCAATTAGCTGATTTGAATCGACAAAACACATAAATTAGAAGTCAAGATTTTTCTACGGTTAAATAGGTTCGTGATGGAAAACTTACTGTGCAGTGTGCACATGTTTAATTTTATAGTCATATTACTCGTACCTTCCCCTTGTCCGTATATGGCAGTGCTATGATAATTTTGCCACATTGTAAGATGCCGTCCAGAGTAAGGTTAAGCTTAGCGATAAGCTAAAAAGACCTCCCGAGGTGGTTTGCGATCGAAGCGCTTTCAATGCGATTTGGAGCGTTCGGACCACTTGAATCCGCCTTAGATGGAAAGTGGATCAAAAGCGGTTACAGCGTATTCATGTGAACGGGACCTTAATTTTGTCGCAAAGCTTTTTAAAGCTTAAAAGTTGCTTACGTCATCAAGCAAAGATCTGATATAATTAGCCCGTAGGCAGAACGTACTGCACCTGCGCAAAACCCGTAATGTATTGTGCATAACACTTCGGCAAAACGTCTCATATAGGGTTGTATTCGCGTATGTAAGACTAACATCCCAACTGTATATTCCATATATTGTGTTTGAAAAGATATCGTCTGCAACAGACAAAATTCTGATCCAACTAAAACCGTGAAAAATCAGACAAGCGCATTACGTTCTACCGACGTGCTGATATAATTTACCCACGAAATTTTTTTTGCAATTAATGCTATAATGACGAAATTTTGATTTAGCGTAGCGAATCATTACTGACAGCATGAGACACAAATATCTAGAAAAAAAGATTTTTCCCTTATTAAAGTTGACTTTACGTTACTACGGATCGTCAACGCTAGATACAAGTATTGTTTGTAGAATTGTATGGCTTAACTGCCCGTTCTCTAATTATCACAATAATCAATCGAGATCTATATTTGTTTTTACTATTTCGTCCGTACACAAGTTGGAGAAAGGTCACTAATCATAGATACTTACTTACACAAACACTTGAGTATTCTCTACATGCGCACACATTTTTTTTATTATTTTAACGCCACAAATAAATACTCAGGTTGTCAGTATTCAACTATAACATATTTTTATATTGATGATTTTGTACTAGTGAAAAGGATATAAAACCATACCCTTTTGTTACTTTTGACGTCAATTTGTGTATTACTAAAATGTATTGACATACATTGTACACAGAAAACAATTCTTGTTGGAATGGTCAGAAATCGGGTCAGCCAGAATACTTTAATTTCAAATTTCCGTCCAACTTGTACTTGTACGTAGATAAATTGGTAGGTAGATAAACCGATTTCTCACCAGTTACTTGTGCTATTATTTGAATACCTAAAGTAACCACAGCATTGCTTTGAACTAGCCCATTCACAAACACTTGTGTTAAGGACCGGTTTACATAACCCACGTAGTCGGACTAGTAGCACCCATGTAATTTATGATCTGCAGAAACTTGGATATTATGTCGGATTAATCACAGTTTGACTGAGAATGGGGTAGGTCCTGAGCCCTCGTTACACCAGGTAGGCCTCCCACAACACTCTTTTAAGGTGCACGGTTTCTTCCCATGTGTACAACTTAGGATCAAACTAAGAGGTAAGGGAGAGACAACGAAAAAAGTAGTGTTAATAGCAAACGTTATTCTCACTACAATCTTAGTACAAAATTCTTCTAAAAATGTACACTCTCGTATACTCTATTGTGTAGCTATTATAAGCCTTGTTTAGATATCGATGTTCCTACAAATCGTTTTTGTACATACCTTTATTAGCCAATCATTAACCTACACGATAAATGCAGCGCAAAAAAATGGGGTGGAGAATATCCTGCTATAGATAGTCAGTTACACAAGTTACTATGGAAGGTGTAATTGTAACCAAATAGGGGCATATTTGGAAACTTTTAATGATTATGCTGCAACTGCCTTGTGAACAAATGTTTATTCTGTGCACACTCATGGCTTCTACGTAACCGTCAAAACAATATATGAGAGACATTCTCTCGCTCTCGGCGTTATATTTCTACAAATAGTCCACCTCAATTTCGTTTAGACGGTACGTAACTTTAACTTTGCAAACTTTCTGTAAGTAATCCACTAAGTTCACAATAACGTTTACCCGAGCAATCGACTTCTTAAGCTTACTTTTGGAAGCCTATACAGGATAAAAATCTTGATCTGTCAATGGCCACTTCGCTGACGAAACAAATTAGACGAATTCGACAACAGTGTGCCATTATACTTTGGTGTAAACGTTATGTAAGTTGATTCTACATTCAATCACAGGTTCAGTTCAATCTGCCAGGTTTGGTCAAAGTGCTCGCTCAGGAGTGTAGAAAATCTATCGTGGTGAACGCTCTGGAATGAGAAGTGAGATCTTCGGCTTGGACGTCTATCTCTGTTTTACCAAAAGTAAACTTAATCTCGATAGCGCGTTCCTTCCCGCCACATGTATCTGGCATATCAACGTGAACTCGACCACAGATGTCCATTCCATCATCTGTGGTGAAACTTGGGTTCTTTTCACTCGTGCAAAACAGATAGACAGTGGCACCCTCTTGATTGTCTCTCATTGCTCTGAATTCCATGCTTTTCGACTCATTCAAGACGACAACGTCATCTACCTCTAACAATTTGTTGAAGATATCTGTGCAGAGTGTAAGCCCGTGAGCAACGACTTTTTTCTCTAGTGGATGGACCCCCTCTTTGAACTCTGTCGTGGACCTGACCCCGTAGGTGCGAGGACTTACCCTTTCCTGAATGGCGTCCGGATTTCGTCCGAACAAAACTGCCCCCTTGATAACAGCTAGACTTGCCTCTTCAGGGACTAAGACTCGAACTTCACTACTTGAAACCGCATCCGTGATAGCCTTTACCAACAATGGTGAATCACTAAAACCACCCACCAGAAAAATGGTTTTGATGTTGCTCAACTTAGGATTGGCCAGAAGTGATTGAATGTGGGACACTATTTGTGCCAGGACAGGTTGAAACAAACTCTGCACGACTTCTTTAGACATTCGGAGTACACCACTCGAAAACCTAACTCCTTCTACGTTGGCACTTGATACTATGTCAGCAATGTTTTGGGGTGACGTGTTCTTAAGAAAAGAAACAAAGCCGTAATTGAGGTGGACATTTGCATCAGTAGCCGACCTTTTCCTCATTTCAAACTCTGCCATGAGTTGGACGTTTTCTTGTGGATACTTATTCCTGTAGTGTTTTATGAATTCTTGGCCAAATATGCGGTCTAAAAGATCGTTAAAATTCGAGTCTACATTAGTGCCACCCCACGGACCGCCTGTTGGACGATGTAGTTCTCTCACAGACCCGTCATCCCGTATTTCGTGCACTGTCACGTCCACGGTGCCCCCTGTATTGTGGCAAGAAGGTAACAAAAATTCCGTCAATATAGCCTGGTACATTTACTCGGTAGTAAGATTTACTCATATTCTTATCTAACCAATAAAGAAATAGATACATAACTTTAGAGGTCAATATTTAAAAAAAAACAGCGAGCTAATTACTATTGTCATACAGACAACGACACTCCTTTCTGCATAACTAGATATTTGGTATCAATCTACATCCAAAATGACAATCTATGTAATTATCAAGTTATTTAGTGCATACTTTTCAGGGCTCAAAATGTTCAATTTTGCTGGGTCGACCAGTGGGCAAGCTAATCCGAAAGTTAGGTTGCCAATTGATATTTCAGGTTACCACAGTTACAATGCTTTAATGAACATCAATCGTTAGCTATTATGTGTAAAATGAAATTGCCCATGATTTGTTTATTAAAAAATACGTACTCAAGTTCACCTGTGTATTCGGCTATTCCAAGATCAGGGTGCACCAATGACACCCTGCACTCTCATATCATTATATCATTCTCACTAAATATTCATTTTACTCTACTGAATAAAAAAAAAAACAATACTATCAAAATACACGTATATTTTCCGGATAATCCTAAAGCTTTTTGGTCTAGATAGATGTTCTAAACATCATGATAGGACCAACTCTATGCCCAAAATTGCCATAAAATTTACGTTATACTGTTGCACTTCTAAAATAAGCTATATGGTAAGTTCTGACAAAAACCTGGGCAGTATGTTATCAAGACTGTCTCATTTTAATATGTTTTTTTCTGAAAACTAGATTATAATTTCAAAAATGGTCTTTCCTATAGTGCCGTAACAATATGTATTACACCTTATCAAAAATGCATTTTTTTACACTTTATGGCAAAATATCTCCTTGTACCCCCAAAATTGTGATAGGACTGGCTATTTTGCATAGTATGGTATATCTATATGTGACACAGAATACTAGCATGTGTCTTTATTTTGCTCATATTTTTGGGTTGAAATACCAAATGGCTTTGAGTCGCATGCTTGTTCTGTCCGGGGAGACGTGTAGTGTCCGTACAAAAGTAAAAGATGGCCCAATATTTGGAATATAAATACCATAGGTACATGCAAACTCAATATTCTGAAACATTAAAAGATGGTGGCCTAATGACAGAAGCCACTTTGATAATGGTTGTAAATAAACAAAATGACAGTCATAAATTACGATGTTGTTGTGTCTGTAGAGATTGCATACCAGATAAGAAAAATATGTGTAATAACATGTTCTATAACAATGGTGTAATTGTCATTTTAGTTTTGTAACTTCATTTCACACTGGTAACAAGTCATTGGCGGTTACGAGAACGATCGCGAGTTTTGAGTTATATGCCAAATGAACTGCAGGGTCCTGTAGTGTCCGTATAGTGCCATTGTAAAGTAATGCAAGGAGCGCAACTTTAAAACCGCTCTTCGCTATAAAATATTAAAAAAAAACATAATGCATGGTATCACTTGTAGTACAAGTTTCTGTAATGAAAGTGGGCATTTTTTAAACTTGAAAAATTGGCCGAAGTGCAACACCCTGGTACACCCTGATCTTGGAATAGCCGATATATAGATAGAACTATGCAAAGAACATTGGAATATACAAGGTGGTAATACAGGATTTTAAAAAAAAGATAACTTGCGCGCCGGGCAACCTGGCGTCTTCCACAAAAACCATGACTTGCGTGGTGAGATTTCGCGAGTGGGTATTTCGAACTCTATTTTTCGAAGAATTTATTACCTCCACAGTCGACGACCATGTAACGGTCTTGTGGGTCCATCTGGAGTGATGTTGGGCACGACGTGTTTCCTCTGAAGTGGGAAACGGGCAGTTGTCGGCAGAACAGAGAGGCCGCTTCAGGCTCCAACGCAACGAGTAGGTGATTTTTATAGTTCCTGGAAACAATGCCCGCCTGAGATACAAACAAAATACAAAGCGGTTGTTTCATTTTCTCATTTGTAAAGTGGAGGATTGTTTACTCCGTGAAAAAGATCACACCATATAAAGCTTTCAAAGTGTTCTCACATTGCAACAAAAGCCATAAACACTGTTTATTAATGGCCAGCATTAAATGAAATACATGTTTTCAAACCACATCCATATCACATTTGAATGAACATTCAGAGCTGTGGCGCCCTCTTATATGACGATTGCTGTAAAAGAGAGCAAAAACGGTAGAGAGATGTAAGTTCTTTGTAGTAAAGCTGTTATGTATATCAATACAGACATACCTTATATGCTGCTTCCCTCATGAAGTGTTTGGCAGCATCGTTCCATATAGCGGGGACAGTGATGACCCATCTGATGTTTTCTGCCTTGGTGACGAGGCCAGAAGATACCTTTACCGCGTTTCGCAGGTGATTGCTGAGGAATTTCAGAGCATGGGCGAAGACTTCCAATGCAGGCAACGTCATCCCATTTGTAGCCGTGAGGGGGATGTCCTTTTTAATTTCCTGTAGGTATGGTAATCGCAATAAATATAGAATAGATAATAACTGCCCCTCAACACAAACTCAATATTAGAGGTACTAGAGGTATATCTTCAACTATCTCTATTATTTTTCTGCCTTGCAGTTGTAATTTGTGATTGTATTTTACTACTCGTAGGCGTTCAGAATGTTATATCAACGTTTAGCTATACGTACTTTGCTTTAAATTATATATATATATAGAAGGCATCTTACCCCGTGGCTAGCATGTAGTTTCATCTTGAAGTTCTCGAAAAAGTAGTGGGACTTGTCCTTTTCATTTTCCGTCAGGACGGCGTACCTTTCCACCGCCTCAAATCCGAATGCGACGAATTCCCTGTTAGGGCCGAGGAGAACACTAGTGGGGGCTTTATATGACTGAAAGCCAAGGTTCTGGCCCCAATTTTTGTTGAGATAAATCGGTACATCTTTTTTTTCATCGTTCAGACATGAGAAGGCATACCCACTAAATGTTGTCCCAAAGTCTATCGCAGCAACTAGCAGAACGTTTAGCAAATTTGATTTGTCAGCCATCAGACAAGACGGGTTGCTTGTTACATCAGGTGCTGAAGAGTTGAGAGCGCATTATAATTTTACTTAAACCGTCAGGCGCATGCGCTAATTTGGTAGACCTATGATTATGGGCTTGATCGTAACCCTGATTAAGATATTTGAAAAAAACAAATTCGCAGCTGGTTGTATTCTGCAAATATGTTTGGCCTACACGAGTAAAACAACAAGTCACACAGGAGTATTAGACCATTATTCAATGCTGAGGTGGGTGTCCAAAACAAATAGTAGTCTAGTCAAGAATAAAATTAGTTCACGGCCAACATGGCAAATAAGAAGTAAGTAGTCTCAGGTGATTTTCGCTAATCAGTCACCGACAAAATATGACAGGTTCCATGGCACATTTACATGTAATCTAGACGATGCTGGTTTAGGTGCAAGCCACTTTACTGTGCCTGTTATTATTAGACTAGATAAAAAAGGTCAGTCAGCAAGAATTGATTTTTAAACTTTTAATCATATTGTTTTTGACAAGATTTTCTATAAATGCCAACTGTGGGGCATTTCATTCTTATTCAGAAAAAAAAACAACTTAATATTAACGCATTAAGTTTACTGCGGAATTTATAACGATATATAAAAACAAAAATTATATAACACGATACCACAACAATGATGAAACTATGCAATGTTTTATTTATACATATGGGTTACATTCTTCTTCTCTCGTCTTCCGACATTTGTAAACGAATTTACGAGTTTTTCTATCATACATCGTAGTTATTAACATGTCATCCTGGTCTGACTCTATGGTATTAACTAGATTATTACCTCATTGTACAGTGGAAATTCCAGGATGCAAGTTGACTTCCTTGTCTAGGCTGCTCGTATCACAAACTATACAGTTTGCGTGTATCTACCAGCATTTAATCTGCAGTGGGCCGGGTGGTCGCTAATCCTTGGCTTAGTCGTTGTTCCTTGATCTCTAAAGTTTCTCATACTCGTATCAAGTTTTTTTTTCTCTCATCCATTTGCTTATTCCCTTGATAATTTCAAAGTTCCCACTATTCATGAGTTAAAGTAAAAGACTGCCTGTTGATATACTCCTTACAAATTTTGTCTCATACTTATTAAAACTGTAGTTTCCTACCTTAAGATTTTAAGCAGCTAGACCTGTTCATTACAAGGTAACATGTTTAATGGTAGATGTAATGTACATTTTGTTATTGTCTAAATGTAAAATATATGGTTGCATTTGTATTCCGATGAATTTTGTCCAAACCCGTTATCCACATGTGGTATCTACGCTATCGGCTACTGACGAATCGGTAAATATCCTTTTCCTTTAGCTGTAATATATTCCTATCTTCAGCCTGCCCTGATGAAGGCGCGCAAACAGGCCAGGAAATATTGCATATATTATGATACTGTAAGACAACAATGTTGATTGGAAGCCGTGATAGAAATTTGGAAGGAAACATGTGCGCCTTACGTAACAGAAAGCCTGTCGTTTGTGGCTCGTTAACAATCAAGGCATTAAAATGTTCCCCTTTCACATCATCCATACCTGAGAGTTTGTTCAAAAGACGTACTTATATAGAACAAGCTTTTACTACAAAATCACCCAATAAAATCGGCTAACATAAACTCAGTCTACCTCTGGCTACCGTGGTGGTAACATGGGTAGGGACCTTGCTACACATGTACAGTATGACAGTGAACAAGACAAGTTTCTCTCCAGGACATTCTAAAATGAACAAACAACAGATGAGGAATTGAGGTACTGTTGTAAGAAATTAGTCTCAGCTAATCCAGAATGTAAGGACAACAGTGGCTGGTCAAGCCCTGTTTGGGGGTGTCAGAGCCTTTGTCAGACATTGGATTGCAGTTACTTGTATGGTTCTAGCAGAGCTCCACTCTACACGTATACTGTTTTCTTAGCTTTAGACTACCAAATGGACACAACAATTAGAAGACATGTTTCTAACACTTACTGTCAATACAAATTGAGCCGTGAGGACTTTTCAAGTTACAAATATAGATAATGTGTCTACAATTAGATACTTTTGATACGGCTGTTTATAAACTTGAAATTTGAACACAAAGTTGATTTCTCAGAGACTGGAAGCTGTGGATAGTACTTTCTCCATTATGTAACTTAGTTACAATCGTCTGTACCATTCTGCATAGTTTGGTCAGGTTACTTTCAACCAGTAAGGCAAAATGTTTGAATATGATCGCCAGTTATTATGCTAATCTGTCCCTGCCATTGTTTTTGGTGACTGGACCTTGTAGGATGTTTATTAGTTTATGTGGTTATGGGGGTCAATTCACTATTAAAGCTGCTGGAAGAGCCACAGTGGGGGCTACTACATTGTGTGTAGACCCTGGGCACACACAGTTAGTTTTTTTTAAACTTTTTAAATAAATCTATACAAGCTTCCTTTTAGGCTACGTTATTTCTCATAAATGATTGTACCGCGTCTATTAGCACCGTATGTCGTCGTTCAGGAAATGTATCCCCACGTTTGCTTTCGACTGTGTAGTTAGATCTACAGCTTTAACTTCAATTTCTGTGTCGCCGAAAAAGAAGGTTACTTCTATTGGTCTGTCTGTGCCTCCGGTGGTGTCGGGCATGTCTAGCTCGGTGATCCCCAGTTTCTGTACACCTGGAGCGGAAGTGACATGCGCGTCGTTGTCAAATGAGCCGTACACGATGATATCGGCTTTTGTTTGGTCGGGACGCAGAGGATAGAAGACATGTTTCATGCCAGTCCCCACAACAACAGGTTGGCCAGCTTCCACAAACTTGTGAAAAGCATTCATACAAACTTTGTCTACCTTCTTACCCCCTTTGTGTAGCTTACGGTTGTACGGAGACGCACATTCGATGCCGTATGATCTGGGACTAATTCGCTCGCTGATCACGTAGGGAGTGTGGCCAAACTTAACGGCCCCTTTCACCACGGCCAAACTGGCATCATTCGGGACCAAAACACGGACACGGCTAGAAAACCTTTTTTTGAAGGCTTGTTGGAGCAAGGGAGACTCACTGAAGCCACCCACAAGGAAAAAATATGCCACATTTGACAGGTTTTCGTCATGCAACAGCTTTTCCAAATGATTCATGATATTGTCTACCACTTCTTTGAACAGCTCTCGCATCTTTTCATCTCCTAGACAAAGAAACCCATTGGAGAAACGCACCCCGTCTACGTTACATTTATCAATCGACTCCTTCACATCCCCACCCTTCATACGTCTGTGGAATTCATTGAAGTGATAGTGAATAGGGAAATTGACAGACCCAGATACTGACGTATTGGAACGTTTTTTCGTCTCAAAAGATTCCATCCACTGTTGCCACTCGGACGGATGAGACGATCGGTAGTCGTCAATAAACGTTTTACCAAATACCAATTCTATCAAAGCAACGAATTGCTCGTCAACCTGGGTCCCTCCCCATGCACCCCCTGTTGCGGCATAGACCTCTTTAACTTTGTTGTCCGGTCGGACCTCATGTGTGGTGATGTCAACAGTTCCACCTGAAAAAAAGTCGAGAGACTGTAAGAAACAGACGACGAGGACAACTCAAATCCATGCGTATTATAACTGTTCTCCTGTGGACATATCACAGCTACACATATTATGTATCAAATATTTAAAATAGATGTTATGTTCTATGTCATGAGTTATCATACTGGTAGTTACAATAGGCTCAACTCTCTTGTATGATTCAAGCGTCTCTTTCTGTCGAATTATACGGCTTAAAGTTTCGTACGGCACATAGGGCTAGTAAAATGCACATTTTGTCAGTTTCATACCACTACAGTGACATTTTTGGTTTCTGATAGACAAAACACCTACCTCCACAGTCGACGACCATGTAACGCGTGCCGGGCGGCATGTTTAGCTTGTCGCTGCCGTCTCCACTCTGTCCCACAAACTGGTTCACAGGCAGCTCCCGGCAGAACAGGGAAGCACTCTCAGGTTCCAGCGCAATGACTAGTTGTTGCGGGTTTGTTTTGGACACTATGTTTGCCTGTTGAGAGAAAGAAGATTTCGTTTCAGTCATTTTTGCTCGGTGCTTCTATATCTGTGCTTACAAAGTCGGCAGATAATGCTTTGAGTTGGATAACTGGTTTAGCATAGGATGGGACCAGCACAGAAAATAATACCATTCTTTCCTGCGTCTTTTAATAGAACGTGATACACGGAAGGTGGTTAGATCAAATGTACTGACAAGCGTCAAAAGAAAGTCGAACATGTTAAATCAGCATTTCAACCATAATATTACATACTCAGCATGTGCTACTTTTAAGACGGTAGGTGGTAACTTCCGTATTTAGTACACGGGTTAATAACATACATTGTAGGCAGCCTCCCTCATGAACTGTTTGGCTGCATCGTTCCAGATGGCGGGAACAGTGATGACCCAGCGGATGTCTCTGTCTCCGATATGCATTGTGCTGGAGACTTTACCTATCTCATCCATCATGTGTTGTTTAAGGTAGCACAGGGCATGTGAGAACACGGACATGGCTGGCAACGTTTTCCCGTTAAGTGCTGTCAGGTAGACACTTCTGTCCAGGTCCTGGAAATGAGTATTGATGCTTTTATTTCTGCATGCTAGTACGTTTTACTCAACAAAATGTTGAAGTTTAAACGCTTAAGTAGCGCAAAAAGAAAATGCACATAAAGGTTGTAACTGCAGTTGCATTTGAATTAAAACAAATGATACCTGATATGAAGAATGCAGCCGCATCTTGAAACGATCAAAAAAGTAGTAGTCCTTGTCCTCATTTTCCTCAAGTAAGGTCGTGTACTTTGTAATTGCGTCGAAGCCAAAAGCAACGAATTTTTTCTCTGGAGACAGAAGTACCGACGTTGGTGTTTTGTATGACTGAAAGCCCACATTTTCGCCCCAGTTTTTATTCATGATGATATCCTCTGGTGAGGACATTAAGGAAAAAGCATATCCGCTATAAGTTGTGCCAAAGTCAATGGCAGCAACCATAAGATATGTCTTGTTCATTGGGGAGGCCATGGTGGAATGTGAAAGGCTTTGCAGCCGACGGTTTTTGCTTGTCGTCAGCCTTTCACCCTAAGAACGATGCGCATGCGCCTAAACTTCAAATGAAATGACACAATAAAACAAAAGCCGCTGGAACAGTTTATAACTGTTTACAAAGTTCGTTATATCAATAAAATCATAGAAATCATTGAAATCACACAGAACTGACATTTTCCTTGAGCAAAACCTTTACATGCTATCCTTTTATTGGACTTTAACTTCAGTCTTTCAATCCGAATATATCCCCCTTTCTAGTTCGAACTGAGCAAAACTAGTTGTACGGAAATGTATCTATACACGTTTTGCTTTCTATAACTTTCAATTGTTGAATCTTTCATCTAAGAGGTCGAGGTTGGTGAAGTGTTCTGCAATGATTCTCAAACACCATGCGATAAAAAGATATCATTTGTAAATGTTCAGTCATTTTTATTGTGTAGTTATCATAGATACAGTTTCTATTTGCAGTAAGCAATCGGAAATTGTCACGGATTTTGATGAATACCTTTATTGTACATTTTTGCACATGTACATAGGTCACAGCAACAGAAACATGCTTTACAAACACATACAACTTAGCATATATCATACAAAATAGAATGGAATGACAGAATATACTAAAGACTTGTCATTTCGAATTCTGGAAATAGTATGAATGGAACGTTCAGTTAAAGTTGGATTATTAAAACACAGGAATATAATATTTGTCTAATATTCGTTTATCTGTTGGACATTTACTTTATGCATAACAAAAAAAGCAATGTTTCTTTTACTATCATCTAAGCAAAGGATATCGAATTCACAATGTGTAGCAGTTGGTTCTTAGCTTTGTGACGGCGGATCTGTGGCGCAAAGTGAACAGACTAAGTATATTTTACAAATAACGGCTAACGAAACAACTGGCATTGAATAGATAAATCTTCATTGCATGTTCTTGCCCATGAGGCTGAATGCACACATTAGGGTATGAGTAACATGATACATAGGATACAAGGATAACAGAATAACGTAAGAGTCTTGGAAACTGCTGGGAAGAACATTCTATCTAACGTAGGTCTTGAAGACGTCTGTCTTTTTAAAGAAATTGGAGATAAATTCACATAGCTTTTTCTATTTTGTGGTCATTACTGGTAGAGAAGAGATGACTAAATATCTCTTTCTTTGTTCCTCTTATACACAGTTTTGTTTACGTGGATATTTCTAAATATATCACGTTCGGCGTCATACAATTTACACTCAAGTACAAAATGTATTTCATCTTCTACGTTACAGAGTTACAAACCTTACAGAGACTATTTTCTACAGGAGTTCGGTTATGTCTGTTGTATGTGTATGTCTATGTGTTAAATTATGGTCACTAATTCGTAGTTTTGACATGGTTCGGTGATGTTCGGAATTTGGAATAACTGTATTTGTTCACGTACTCGTACAACCAGACTCGATCTCAATTGTAGCTTTACTTTCCTCCTAGCAAACGGATAGTGGCTTTATTACACGTAACAGTGCCGTGTACTTACGAAAACAGATACGGGCAAATTGCCATTTGTAACTAATAGCTTAATGCAAAGTAACTAAAATTTCATTTTCGGAACATCAGAAATTCCCTTCCCTACCCGAAAACAACCTGACCAAACCAGTATATATGATTTGGTTACAAAGTAATTGGGGTTTGGTGGTATTTCTAGAGTTTCTCCTGAAAAGCACAGTATGTATGACACAAATATCTCTTGTGTTTTACAACAAAACTGTGCTATGTGCTAGATACATAGTGAGTCATTTAGATTTGACTGGCCTGGATGCCTCTTCATTTTTGCTTCTACAATGTGACTTGGGCATTTATTATTTTGTATTATTCTGTTTATTGAAAGCAAACAGTAATTCTTTTCATATTACACGTTCATTTTTCCGAAAAAGGCAAAAACATTTATAGTACAGTCGACCATCTTCGGCCGTATTTAATTTGTTGACCCGCAAATTTTAAAACCAAATCGTATTTTTGGCCTGAAAATTCACCCTGTGACATTAGACTGGCCCGGGCGATGGATTTGAATAACACAAATATATAGAAAAATATACTAGGTAAATCCCCTATGAGATTGCACCACATTTTGTACGCGGATAAGGTACCAGACAATTCTCTTAATAGTACTAATAAAATAGTCACGTCTATTCTAATATGTTCGCTGTTTGGTGTACTGAGGATAATTTCATCCGTAAAATCAACTAAGTGGGCCTAACAAGATCAGAACAAATTCTTTACTTCTTCATGGAAGAAGAGTCTTTTGTTAACATATTTGATTTTGTAAACAATTTTTCAATGTAGGTTAATGTAGCAAAATTATAAGAAGCACCATTTCATTATTTGGAAAGATAACGTTAACAATAAGCAGCGGTCAAGCTGGCGTTGTTGCTGCATACTATATACATGTCAGAAAGCATAGCGCAAGTTTAACTAAGGGGCCAAATTAGTGAGTTAACAGGAAGCTCTACCGAGGCTCGTCGAAGCAACCTTGCCACAAACACGACTGTTGCTGAAATAACTTTGGGCTTTGTTGACTTTGTAAAAATCGTGTGGCATACGGAAGAGCATTTTGAGACTTTCGTACTGGTAACATAGCTTTAGTCAACATTTTGCCTGATTTTTTTAAGAGAAAGAAGGTCTAAAATCTTCCCAGATTATTTACTGAATGTCAGTCGCTACAGGTGACCCCAAAAATTGCCTTTTAGAAAATCGCTGAAATTGGGCTAGGTTTCGGTAACAGGTGATTTTATAATATGCAATAAAAGTCATTGTCATCATAATTGGAATATGACGCAAGGTGTAAATTTATGATTCGAAAGACAAAACATCGCATAAGACGTTAAAGTTCTCTATCTTTAAAATTCGTCAAGCGTACTGTCAATACGATAATAGAGTGATACATGACGCATAGTTGAAATGGCTTGTAAAAAAATGGCGACTGAATTAAATGTACACAAGATGGGAAATTATGCTTTAAGATGCTTACTTTCATAGCCCCGTTGAAATACATTCGAGGATACTACGGATTGGATGGACCTACGGTGGGCTAAACTAATCCCTTTGGGTGGGCCAAGCGAATTTTTCGGTAAGAGGTATACTCGTCAGCGTGTTTCTGTAAGGAAACTGCTCTAGTCATGGCGGGGGCATGATGTTCTTGTCACTAATCCATTTCCTTCCACAGCCGTTTTCATGACATATTTTGAAATCTATATTTCAATTAATGTCAGAAGACACTATCCGATCCATTTCGCAAACGTTAAGGGTGTTATATCTTCCTTGAAATCTAGCGTTTGTTTGCTTTCTTTTTATTTCTAGATCAGGAGTGGGTACGGCCAGTAATTCGGATCCAAATGATATTTTACGGAAAGCTAGCTAATCAAGTCAGTGTAACAGTAAGGGTTACTTGTATGTCAAGCCGTCTTAATCAATGTTTAACTAAGCTGTCGCACTACAGCTCTGACATTGACAACGTTGCATTTCAGTGTGTTCAGTGTCAATTAAGAAAGGCCAAGAAGATGTTGAATTTAATCCTGCAGAAAGTCCACTTTCGTAGACGCCCTCTCACCGCTTCCCAAGGCAAAGGCATCAACCTTTATTTCAGTTTCAGAGAAGGTGATTGTAGCCTTGACATCACGGGTAATGCCAGATAGAGGGGGCGGTAAACCTACGACGACATACCCGCATTTGGTGACACCCTCTTCATCACAATACTCCACCTCTTTTTCATTAGTTACGAAGATTTCAATGCCCATGGTTCGTTGGAGCCGTCTGGCTGGAGAAAAGATATGCTCTGACACTTCTCCCACTTCCACTAACTGACCTGCCTCAACGAACTTTGAAAACACACGAGTACACTTCAATTCTCCGTCAATTCGTTCCGCTAGCCTAAGTGGGTGGTAGCCTCTGACAAATGGCCTACAGACAGACGTTCCGTAGGTATACTTTGATCTCCTGGCTGCTATTGAAGTAGGGTTGTGGCCAAACATTACTGCACCTTTGATTATGGACAGACCACATCCGTCGGGAACAAGCACACTGCATACACTCTCGAATTTCTCTTTGACTGCATGCTGCAGTATGGGTGATTCGGAGAAGCCACCAGCCATGAATATGTACTTGAGAGGCATAATGCCTTTCTTTTTCACCAACGTATCGAGATGACTCAATATTGAATCAATAGCTGGTTTGAAAAACGATTTCATCAGTGAGTGGCTCATTCGAATCAACCCATTTGAGAAGGCGACCTGTGGTGAACCATATTGCTTTATAGCCTGCTGCACGGTGCGACCCCCCGTATGTTTGGGGTAAAACTGGAAAAAGTTGTACCCTAAGTGGACAGCCACTACCCCAGCATCATCAGATGTATGGGGACTAGTGGACCTCTTTTTGGTTTCGAATTCGTTAAGGAGATTGAGATGCTCATTTGGGTGCGCTACTTTGTACCGGGCCATTAGGTCTGCACCAAAGATAGCGTCCAGTAGTTTGAGAAACTGCTCGTCCACCTTCGTGCCGCCCCAGTTTCCTCCCGATGCAGTAGACACCTCCTTGGCTTTGTTGTTTTCGCTGACTTCGTGTACAGCAATGTCCACAGTTCCACCTGTAATGGAAATACATGTATATGCGTAATTAGACAGCATCACAGTATGTAATATCAAGCACAGTTTTTGGACTTTCCACGTGTGTGTGTGTGTGTGTGTGTGTGTGTGTGTGTTGTGTGTGTGTGTGTGTGTGTGTGTGTGTGTAAGTGTGTGTGCGTTGACGTGTGTTTGTGCATGTGTTTGATTAACATTTCTTTCTACTACTTTGATAGCGAGAAAATGTAAGACCAATTCAAATAACTTTGCAATTACTTACCACCACAGTCTACGATCATGTACCGGTCTCCCTTTTCCACTTCTACGAGCTGGTTGTCCGTTGCGTCGTGACAACAGAATATCCCCGCTGCCTCTGGCTCCAGTGCGATCAGTAGTTGCCCATCATTATCTTCACTGGCTATTCCAGCCTGGAAAGATACGAATTTTGATAATTTGAAAATACGAAACTTGAGGGACGGCCCTGTATAGGATATTTATAGGATGATTTGATGATAGGATACTTAGTTTGATCCTGTTAAGACACCTCATGGGTCTTTTTTGTGGATCTTAATAAATAAATAAGTAAATAAAAGAATGATATTAACAGGGGAATGCAATAAAACTGTTGTTGGACGTCAGTAGTGAATCAATTTTTGTTTTCTTTCTTTCATTTCTTTCGAGATATAACTAAGATATAGAGAGAAGCATTTCTTTGTAGAGTTCGATAAATATTCTAAGTGCACACTGCTGATATATCACTTATCATCATAATGATAATGTGACGTTACGATATTGCGTGACTTATGTTACCATTATCTTATTCGATATGTTCAGAAAAGTGAATGTCTCAAACATGAAAACTGTTAGCATCACAGAAAAATGACAGGTAGACACTCATAGTGTTAAAAATGTGTACCATTAGTTATGTACGCCAAAAAGCAGTTACTCAAGCAACTGGATATGTTTTTTTTTAAATTCTAACGTTAACAGAGAATGGAAAAAGGCTCTCGCTACACACGCGTAGGTATGAAAGAGGAATTTATGTAATATATATTCCTCTTGTATCACAAAATTTAGAGCACTAAGATGTCAGCAGACACTGGAGTTTTGTTTTCCCTTATATCAAAGACTGGAGAGTGATTTCTGCGTTGCAGACCGTTCAGACTGATATACATGATCTGATATTACACCTGTTTTGTCTGCGCATGTAACAGAACCTGAATTTCACTACAGAAAAAACACGTATAAATGTGTCAACAATGTGTTGGAGCTAACCTTGTACGCGGCCTGCCTCATAAACTGTTTCGCACTGTCGTCCCAGATGGCGGGAACAGTCAGGACCCAGCAGATGTCGTCATCCTCTAACTCGTTCTCTGACGAAACTGTCAGCTTGATGGCCCTCAGCATGTGGTCCTTCAAGTACCTCATGGCGTGGGCGAAAATGTCGATGGCTGGTAGCCGTTTTCCATTTGCATCTTTGATTGTTGTGTCCTTTGTCAACTTCTGAGAAACATAATGAAAAATGATACACACTTAATCATCGTCTTAAACTTCACTCACCAACACATGCGTAGTTTAGTGGATTGGTTCAGTGGGTATGGGATTCAAACATAAAGTCATCCGTGCATAAGAAATGAAAAAAAAAGGTTTCACTTATAAAAATTATTACTTTGTTTCTGAGGTAAAGTGCGAAGTTAATAAAATAAAACTGTGATAACACCATACTTTAATTTCGTTGCCACCTGGATGAAGCTTCTTACCTTCTCTGTATATAGTTCCATCTTAAAACGATGGAAGTAGAAGTGCCTCGTAGCGTCACTCTGCTCAAGATCAGCATACATACTGGAAGCTTCGGACCCAAACGCCTTAAACTCTCCTTTAGGATTGAGGAGCACCGAGGTTTCAGTTTTGTGGGCTAGAAACCCCGATTCACTACCCCAGTTTTTATTCATGATGATATTATCCTTGCTAGAGGTGAACGAAAAGGCATAGCCACTGAACGTGGTCCCAAAATCAATGGCGGCTACAAGGAGACATTTTCGCCTCTCCATGCGAGCACGGATCTCTTCCAGCTCTCCTACAACTTCTAGAAATTGTAGGAATCGACGGAGATGTAAGGATTCGGCCATTTCGGTACCTTTTGTCCTCCCAGCCGTAAAGATTAAAGTCTTAATGATTAATTACTTTGCGGACTCAGTGTTTTAGATTGTGAGGGCCCGAAAAACAAAGGCGCACGCTCCCTCTCAGCCAATAGGCATGTATCTGCAGCTACGGCGAACGACATTGGACATGCGCTAGCTTTTGTTTGTCAATGTCTGTTGCTTGCACCGGAAAATTGCATTGTTTTAGAAGGAGATCAATTAATTTAACAAATGCCTGTCACGGCACAATAGGGCCAATATACATGGAAGGCCTTTTGAAAGAATCAACAAAGCGTCTTCATTACATGTATACACAGAATGAAATATGCATGCATTGTGTTGGTTTTTCTACTTCTAGAATAGTTTTTCTTTTCTGGTTACGTTTAGAATGATCAAGGAGCTTCAACGTCCTCGGAATGATACAGCTGAGGATGGCTGTATTTCTCTAATATTGTATTATTATCTAATGTGTGATACAAGATATAATGTGTTCCTTAGCATTTACTGCGCCTCATGGTCTTCCTAATAGCACGTTACAGGATTCAGTATTTCCAACAAAATAGTTTGTGGATATTTGCCTACTATTATATATTCAAACACAGTGCATTTCATCATCGATAAGGTCAATTCATCCCAAAATAAAAAGTTTAATCAGAAAGCAGGAAAACAGAAATTATAATAAACATGTAATTAATAAAACGATATGTTACCCTCCTATGAAATGCAATTTGATCCTGCACTCCCGGCCAGTCCCGGGCGAGCGAAATCATTGGTTGTGGGCGCGATCACTGTGGCACAGGACGTTGTTACTATACCAGCGAGTCCCGTCTAATATAACAGGGTAAGTTGTCTGACGATTTTGAGATTCGGTGTTGTCCTGGCGATCAGCGTCAAACAAAATCGACAGAAGATTGTTAACAGTGTGTGCTACATTTGGGCGAGCTATATTCCTGCTCTGTAACTCCGGCTTCTTGACGACTGTAATGTTTTTTTTTATTTATTTATTTATTTCATGGGTACGTGGGCCGTCTACTCTCTCTTCGTAGCCAAGGGCTGAATTGTATGGAGCTTACAATTAAGTGGGCTAAATCGCAAGGGTCTGGAGTGGCTGCCATTCGGCTCTAACTTAGGTGACCTCAATTCGACCCCAGGTGCGGCCATATGACTGTAAGCTTCACACCAGGAAGGACCCATACTCTTATTGATAAGTGCGGTGGCCATGGGTTCTTTAACGTGACTTGGGGTGGGGTCGTGTGGCGTAGCGGCAGAGCGCGCGACTCGGAACCTTGAGGTCCCGGGTTCGAGTCCTGACATGCCACCGATCTTGTGCCCTTGGGAAAGGCACTTTATACCACTTTCCTCACTTGCGCCCAGGTGAAAATGAGTATTGTCCTGTCCAGTATTTGTCCCCTGTGTTGATGTCGGCATTAATATAAGTTGAAAAAACTTGAGTGTGTCGTCACCACGTCTGGTGATTATATGTTGGAATTAAAAAAAAAGTTGGGTATGGCTATCCCAAACACGGGAAAGCCAAGGTAATGTTGGGCAATCTTTCATTCTATATCATGCAGATAATGCGTGTTTTAGGAGGTAGGACGCCTTTGCTACTATAGTTCAGTAGTTGTACTAGTAGGGCAGACCGTGGCCACAAACTCGGTGCATATGCATTTATAAATACAATGACTACCATGTTTAAAAAACGTTGTATTATCTACTCCATTTACCGTCTTATAGAGGAGGAGTTATGCAGCGCATTTACAAACTGGTATTTATCATTTTTTCGCATTGCAGAATTTGCATTCAAACACAACTTAGATTTCACATTTGACTGAAATTCAGAGATTTGACTATAGTTACGTAGCTCTTGCTTAGTGTGTTACACACATAATGTACCGCATTCACACCATTTTAGATATTGGCTGTCGGAAGACTATACTTTTGCCCAAGCTTTTTATTCATGCGCCAAATTCATAAGTATGCATTTTTTCAAGAATGAGAATTTCATTACTACATATATCACCAGTAATATTCAAAATAAGCTGGTATGAATATTCTATTCTAACAGGAAGCTCTATTTAAAAATGTGTACTCACGTGGAGACTTAGGAAATACATTGATTGAACAGTAGCTTAACTACTGTACACATTTATAGCTAAAACACTGTGCAATGGATTAGTTGTGTAATGATCTAATGCACACATCAATGTTGATTACTCTTTATGTACATGAACCTAATAAAGATGTCCATTTTTAACATGTTTGTAAACTGGTTTTCCTTCTCGCTGTGCGATCATCATAAAAGTATGCAATCATGTATATAGCAAACAATTGTACGAGGCATAGAGCCTATAGCATTGACCTTACTCTACAATTACAATAAAAAAGTGAAACAATACGTATTTCGGACTCTTTTGCAAATTATGACAATCAAGCAACAAATCAGTAGATAAAATGGGACCTGATACTTACTGTTCCTTGGATATTCTTATGATGGAATTTATTCACATTGATTGGAAGCCAGTTTTGGCTGAATTACACAAGTGATAACATATTAAAAACTTGACTTTCACGATGACTTTGTAAACGTGACTTTTCAAAGATAGCCATGCTTTCGTTATAAAGCCATTGGACTATCCCTTGGCGGAGCAACATTTACGAAGAATGTGGCGCAGCGTTCATGTAAGCCATTACAAAATCGCGGGTGATCGCACGCGGATACACGGTGCCTGGGCGGACACAGCCGGGCAGACAGGCGTCAGATCGTGCGGTAGACGGTACGTACGAGCAGGAACGCATCACGAAGTTCATGGGCCGTGTATGCTGTTACAAAATCGCGGGTACTTGCACCCATAAACATGGCGCCTAGCCGGACACAGTACCCCCGTATGAGCTAATCTCCAAGCGGATCTTTTGGTGGGGGTAAGACAGTTTCAAATTGGCCAATCTGTAACAATTTCCCCACCCAAGGTGGTGGTAGCGACAAAAAAGGGGCCATATATAAAAATCAAACGATCTTCCACCATCAACCTCTGCTTGGAGAGTACGAATGAGCGCCCGTTAGCGCGGTAAACGTAATGCAGGAAGGCACATCACGAAATGTGTCACACATACACATATCGCAAGTGTACATGTGGTAGACATGTAATAAGTATACAAGAACGTGAAGTGGAAAAGGCAGCAGTCTTGTGCGGCGTGTGGTACAAGTGGTAGGTGTAGTTAGCATATTGAAACGGGCCATGGGAAAGACAGCGCTCTTTTGCGGCGTGTGGTACTGGTGGTAGATGTGGTAGATATCGTAAGAGCGCTGCCCTTCCCATGGCCCGTCTCCGTATACTTCCCACTCTTACCACCTGTACCACACGTGCCGTGGTTTCGGGAGCTCCTACCCGCGATTTCATGACAACATACGCGGATTACCTAGTAACATATCAGGCGGGCTACGCGTGTTCTGAAATTTCGTGATGCGTTCCTGCGTATCCGCGTGCTATCACCCGCGATTTGGTGATTACTTACATGAACGATGTGCCAAGAATGTAACCGTATCACAGTAGGACATAAAGATAGCATAATACAACTCCAGAAATGTTTGCCTGACACTAAATGAATGTGCTTCATTAGTCTATTAAATTCGAAGGATATCAAACTCTGACTGTGCACATGTGACGGCAAATTGCCGGTAGTAAACTTCGTCAAATAGACAAAATTCGAGTCATTTGGCAGAAAAAAAGAACCCCTATAAAGTGCGTGGTACATAATGAGCAGAAGTGCTTTGTAAAGAAAGTATTACCAGTTCGTATTTATCCTGCATATGGTGAGAGTCGAGAACAAAACCATGACTATTATTAGGGGGTGACACTACGTAGCTTTTAAACACACTCTGCCCTTCTGAAGGACGAGGTTTGATTGGCTTAAGATAGGCCATACATAGAAGTCAATCTTGCCCCTACTGCCACGTTTAGATTTAAAAGGAGGTGGACTACTGTAAAACAGGTGGTGGCACCTGTCATCGTACTCGGTATCTGGTGTCACCGCCGTCAGTGGAGGCTGCTGGACGGCCATTTGCCAGGCCAGGCGGCTGCACGCCTCGACAAATGATATCACTTTTGAATTCTGTAGAATTTGCGCGATGTCGTCGCCATTTCCCTCCTTCGCTTTTTCAATTACGATCTAGATTTTAAATACAAGAAAATATGAAGTTATATGGATGACATCCGTGTGCGCATCATGATAGGTTTTCATCTGTTACAAAATCAAAGTTAGACCATACGTAATATGAGGGGTGGCAGAGGGAAAAAAAGAAGATGCCAGAAGAAGGAAAGCAGGAATCGAATTAAGCCCCTATTCCACGTAGCGGCGTTCTCACCGCGCTCTTTCAGAGCGCGGAGAGAGCGCCATGGAAGCACGCTGAGATCGTCATGGGCGCCCTTGTCAATTTCAGGTCGCAGAGAGAGCGCGACGAGAGCGCCGTCAAGTGGAATGGGGGAATTACCACTTCCTTTACCAGCAAGTCTTCCAAGGTTAGAACAAAATGCATAATTATTGGTGTGCCATGCTGTTCTGTCTGTCATTTTTGCAACCTTCGTTGGATGATGCTTTGATAGTTCCTAACCCCTTAAATTTCATCACCCCTTAAGTTCGCATCAATTTCGGGGTGTCAAAATTCAAAAATAAACGTAGTATGGCATAACATTAGAATGGTTTGGTTTATCATTCGATAAACTCATCGCAGCTCATGAGCTGAATTGCGAGTTCACAATCATGTACATATACAAATTTTCACAAGTTTACCTATACAAATGGTCTAAAAGTTTGTAAACGGCGAACAGGTGAGAATACATATTTAAAAGATGCAATATATATTTAAATTTAAAGAAGCAGTGCATATTTTAAATGGAAAGCAATGGTATTGTAACTAATGTCATTAGTTGTTAACGAATGGGATTAAATCCCTTGAATACATGGATTACGATTACCTGGGTTAGTGATTTCACATCGCACCCCCCACACGTCTCCTTCAGGAACGCCGTGATTTCGTGCCGAAGAGATTCGGGTACTCCCGTGGTGCCTCCGACATGCTGATAAGCATGAGGAATATCATAAGCTCTATCAATAACGAGTAATTGCCATAATCTACACAAATTTATTTCATTTTTTAGTCTATTCACATGGTTTTATAGCATTGATTGGCAAGCGCTTACGCCCTTATGAGATCCTTTGCTCAAGAACATACAAAATACAGGTTGAAATTACAAAAATAAAACTCAAATTTATCTTCTTATAGATTTACCATATTTTACACATGTTATACTGGGTTGAGAAAGAGGATTCTTTGGAAATCTGCATATTTATCAATGATGTTCATACTACCATAGCTTGTTCACCTAGCTTATGTAGAACATGAATATGCAGAATATGTAAAATAAATACCTGCGCCGTTGGCCGGGTGCAAGTCACCGTCGCGATAGGGCAGAGTAGCCGATCAACCTCCGCAGTGAGGAAGCCATTGAAGATTTCCTGTGCACGTTTGCAAGCGAACTGCAGGACGATATTGTTAACTTTAATTGGTGGTATAAGTTACCTATGTTGGTTGTGTTGCTAAATACATTTAGGTCCTATTCACTCATACATGTTCTGGCAGCAAATATGAAGAACGATAGCAGGCAGTGACAAAAATCTATTAACCACAAGAACTTACCTTAAACAAATCTAGCAGAAACTTGATGTTCGTCCTTTCGTCGTCAAATCTGTCGTCAAAAACTTCCTTTGCTACTACCCATTCCTTGCTCTCGATCTCGGCAAATTTCTCGGCGACTTTTGCCGGCCTGTTCTTCACTGATATATTCTCCATGTTTGTCTCGTTAGAATTGAGCCTGATGCCGAACTCTTTCGAAAGCCTGGTTACAATATAAAAACAATGCTTTTGTCAGTTTAAATCCAATTGATATTCTACCAGAATTTTTCCCTGTAATTATGCAGTTGATAATTATGTTGTGCTACAAAAACAAGTATCATATTGCCAAATTCTACACCACGGAGAATCTGACGACTGACGTATCAGAGCTATGTTATCCCAACCGAATGACACTAGTAAGATAAACATCAACATTTCGGTCAATTATATGTATTAAACATTTGAAATATTGGCAATGGGATTCAGCAAAACCCTACCTGTTTCGAAAACTTTCTGCGGCACTTTTGGCTTCGGTGTACTGGTGCAGAAGGGAATGTTTTTCGGCCTGAAGACTATCGACCTGAGTTCTCAACTGTTGGTTTTCTGTGCCAAGTCTCTCCAGCATCTTCTGGTCCCTTTCTTTCTTTTCCAGCATTTCCCTTGCCCCGATTTCGAGACTTGTTATGTGTTGGTTTTTGGTGACAAGTTCGTTTTTCAGCACACTTTTCTCGTTTTCCATTGCGTGCGTTGCTTCTTTGTTTCTTGCTTCAAGACCTTTGACTTGAGTTTGCAGCTTTTGGTTTTCTTTTCTAACGTTCTTTAACTCGTTTTGCTCTCTCGGCATTGCGTCTGCTCTGGAAGCGCGGTTATGTTTCTTTTCTAGGCCCTCGAGCGCCTTTTCTAGATCGTGCATTTTTTTATTGAGGGCACTTTGGTCTTCCAATGCACGCCGTGCTTCGTTGTTCCTTGTCTCAAGATATTCAGCCTGAGTTCGCAGCTGCTTATGTTCTCTTAAGTTTCCAAGATATGTCCTCATCTCTTCAAGCTTACTTTCTTTTTGACGTAGTGCATCTTGCATACACAGCAAGTCTTCTTCTTTGGTAGAGAGTTCACCATACAGGTTCTGAATAAGTAAGGTGAGGCGTTTTTCTTCCTTGCTCCTTGCGTCTTCTGATTGACGAAGCAGACAGTCTTTTTCACGTGCCTTCTCTAGCGCTCTAGCGATTTCACCATCTTTCCTTTTTAGTTGGTTCCCTAACTGTCTTACTTCTTCATTGCGTTTTTCCAGCTCTCTCCTTTTTTGGTCCATTTTCTGGGCAAATTCTAGGGCTGCTCGCTGATGAGTCTTCTGTCCGCTGGCACCTTTGAACTGTTTGATTTCCTTTTCTTTCTGGTCGATTCGTTTCTCAAGGATCTCATTCTCTCTTTCCTTTCGACGCAGTTGCTCCTTTGTTTCTTTCAGTTCTCGTTTTACGTCTTTACATTCGTTAGATTTTCTTTTCAGCTCATCTTTTGCTTTGCCATATTGCTCAGATATTTTCCACAGCTGTGTTTCACGTTCCTGTATTCCCCGACTTGCTGCATTACTTCTTGTAGAAGAAGGCTCACGGGCCGTTCTTCCTGGGGTGCTACGCCTCGAATACATTCCAGACTGCATGTTTTCTACTGTTGAAGTAGGCCTTTCCACACCTTTTCTAGGATCGTGAAGGTCGGATTCCTTGGTCAGCTTAATCTGATGAGCCTCCCAGTGGCTTGCTCGTTTGTCTGAACTCTAAAAAAATGATTCGGCACTGCACCGGGTGGTAAGTGGGTAAGACATGCGCACTCAACTTCGACCTCAACAGAACACAGCCCTCTGTTTACTTTTGCATAATGAGGGCAGCAAACAAATGCAGTAAGGGGATATTGTACCTATTGCCCTCTACCGGGTGTTAGCAAGATGGGCGCTGCGCTATCCTATGGTGAAAGTTCAAAGGAAAGTGCTTGTTCTCGACAAACTGAAGAAGGCACTGCAAGTAAGCAGTTCATAAGTACCCAAGTGCAGACAGACGCTGAAAATGTCGATCACCATGAAGGAGAAAATAATCATCTCAAAGAAGAAAACAGTCTTCTCCGCCAGGAAGTTCTGAACTGTAAGTTTAAGATCAACTCGATGGGGTTGGAGCTTCAAGAGCAGAAAGAAAGGTAACAACCGCACAAATCCAATTGTTCTAATCCAACTACTACATGCACATACAATAAATCAGTCCCGAAAAAACCATATGACTCTTTAGTGGTAAAGATGTACCATTTTAAACTTTTCACACATACGTCCACAGCCAGGTTTATATTCTATATGTAAGACATAGCACTCGGCGTACGAATGTTTAATCTATAAAATAGCGACCATATTTATCTACGTTTTCCTCCCTTTGTTTGCTTTGATGAAATGTCTTTTTTGTGTATGTAGTACAAAGAATAGAACAAAAACATGTGTTGCATATGTTGTACATGTGGGGTGAGTTTAAGGTCAGAGGAAGCATACAAAAATGTAGGTTTTTGTCTATAAAGAACTATACAATCTGTACACATAGGCTTTCAGCATGCCTGAGTGCGCAGTTGTCCTCCGACGAAAGGTATCTGGAGAACGTTGGAGAAACCGTACGCCCGAGTACTCTGGGGAAGCGATATCAAGAACTTGAGTCCACGGAATGGGTGTCAGCAAAGGATCAGATTGACAAAAATCAGAGCATTTCCAGCTGCGATGCATTAAAACTTCTATGCTTTCTGATGGACGTATGTATGATCTTCAACACTAAATTAAGAAAAAAATGTAGGCTCCAATGTATTATTTATGTGATAAATCAAAATTGTCTTATGGTCAAGTGGATATGTAAAGTCAGTAGAATATCCCAGAGTTTTTCTTGTGTGAAGTTGTGACAGTCTTAATTAATATTAGATACATAACATTGTACATTTATAAGCACTTGCCATTTAATACATCATATTCTACTGTATTCTTCAAACCAAATCTACAATCAATTACCAGACGTTTAGAATGAAGACGAATATCTAGATCATAACCAATAGCCTTAAAGTAAAGTTGAAACTGTCCGTTTTATAATGAATGTTTTAATGCACATTTGCATACATTTTGCATACTACATGTGCATAGTGAGAAGTTAATGATCATATATAATTATCAATTATTACTAGTGACTGTAAATACTTACCATCAAATTGTAGCAAGTGGCTATTCATTCGCTCACCAACCGAATGAAAATATCTGCAGATTTGCAACCTTTAATTTACCATTTCGTGTTCCACGCTTGTAGGAGGTGTACATTGCAGCCGGCCCTGAAGTTATGAAGCGTGAGGGAGAACTATCTGATATGATGCTACGTCCTGTTCAATACCACCTCAAAGTAAGATCTCTCTCTTTCTCTCTCTCTATCCATTATGTTATATTTGAGGACATGTCATAAAATCAACCAATCATTATTAGTGCCAAATGAATGATATGAGCATTTTTACGCTCAGTTTACACATTCTTCGACACGTGTGTGTGTGTGTTAACCTACCACATAAAATACCCACGATGCGAGCATTGCTATACTTACACATATAATAATTAGCTAGATTCAACGCGACTTGGGGAATGCTTTTTCCACTATATTGTACGCACTGTACATTTTTTTTCATTAAATGCATCAAAATTATCTTTGTACCTTGAACAACTTTCAAGTTAGTTACTGTATCGCTGGTAATTCCTAGTACAGGGCAAGAACAGTGTAAACAGATTAATGATCTTATATATCCGTTTTTCGGCCTCGATCTCTTCAGGGTGTCTCAGATCGCCAGTCTGAAATGGATCCAAAGGGACGTCTTCCCCCCGTAGTTTCAGAGACGTTGAAGAACGAGATACGGAAGTGCATGAAGAAAACATCACACTTCATTGACCTGTCTGGAATTGAGGAGGTAAGTTTGTGCTTTTATTATCGTTTATTATATTTACGTTTGAGAAGAGTATAGAGTAATGATTTAACATCACCGTGTCAGATTCATAATGAAGTAGAAATTTACATTTTAAACTGAACAAGACCTATCCACCTACCAAATCATTCCAACCAAGTCTTCTTAAGTTCTCGTGTTTACACACACACACACACACACACACACACACACACACACACACACACACACACACAACACACACACACACACAAACACACACACACACACACACAAACACACACACATACACGAACGCCTCTGAAAATCTAACCTTCTTGGCGAAGGTAATTATACATCTTACGCTGTACTGTGTTGAGACTGCTAAACAGTTTAGAACTATATAAATTGAATAAAGGCACACCTAGAAGGATAGGTTTTCTGATAGAAGATACTATAAACTTAGTTCTTCAGACTTTTTAGATAATTCTGAAGAACTACAATTACATATGTCTTGTTTCATGTAGAACGTGAAAGTGAGAGCAGCTGAGAAGTTTTCGCTGAAGAAAGGCTTCTTTGTCAACAACGATGAGGTACTGAAATTCCTGAAGGCGTGCTGTCTTCTTGCGTGGCAATTCCATCTGGTACAGCCACCCATGGTAGTATCTACCGAACCCACCACATACGACAACAACATTCACACTCTCTGGTACGATAGTGATAATGACACAAATTCAGCCATCCAATATTACGTGTGGCCAATATTGTTTAATTATGAGGGTGGCGGAATCGCTGCTAAAGGCAGGGTTATGCTAAGGCAGTCCCATGACGAGCGGGAAATCTTTTCAACAAATCTGTAACAACTTCAAACGGCAGCGAAATGAGCACAGCTTGTAAAACGTCATCCGTAAGAAAACTTTTAAAATTCAGAATGATCTTCGGGAAGATGAACCATTTGTAAACTTGGATATTCCTTTTTTGTTTTGCACTATCTACATCAGATTAATCATTAATTGTTAGTTGAAACCTGCTGGTAACAGGAGTTACAAATGTTTGTCAATCGTATTTTAGTTTGTGCTGCACGCTTATACGTCTAGATTTTGGGGACATGTAAATATACATATATCCTCAATGTCTAGTCCATATTGTGTGATATTACCACTAGATATGCGCATTTATTGAAGAACTTCTGTTCTTTAAATTAAGAAGATGTGATATATGTATGTTTTATTACTATTCAGTTATTTCTTACTTTTACGATTATCATTTAACCCCACTTGTTTTTAATGTAACTGCTTTTTTCCTTGTCCTTGAAACCACGAATTGTGAGTTCATCATGTTGCTTTAAGTATCATTATAATGGTTCTTTGAGAATGTACGCAGATTATTATAGTTACCTGTGCCTGCAGCATTAACAGTCCCCAAAGTCTTGTTGGAAGCGACAACTATTCAAAGTTGATTGTAAAAATATGAACACAGAAGAATGAATCACGTACCTTCGTCATTATTTGTGCTGGTTTTCTATAGTACAGTGATTTGCTTGGCCGTGTGTTTAGCGTGTGTTTAGCCCCTGTCACGAATTTGGCCTCCCGAACGCTAGCCGAACGCCAACAATGGTTAGCCTGATTCGGCTGGTGTTCAGCTGGCGATGGGCTAGGTCGGCTACGGTTCGGCTGCGCATCATTCGTGAAGCGTTTGGAAGGTTCGATCATAGTTGGCTGGTTTTTATAGTTGGCTGGTTTCTACCGCAAGTCAGCAAAACACATGCCAACTATCCTGGAGTAGGTCCGCACTGTTTGGGGCGTGCTCAGGGATCAAATTTGATTCCAATTCAACCCAAATTCGTTTCGAGTCATACAAAAAAGGTTAAGGCATGGCCTAAATCTGGTCAGAGTGCTCCCGAACAGCAGCCGACCTGATCGGGAACGAATTCGTAGGAATTTCGTTAATGTGTCACATGTGTACTGTAGTGTAATGTAGTAGGCCGGCAGAGTTCGGCGCGCGTGTTCGAGGGTTAATTTTTTTTTTCTATTCCAACATGTAATCACCAGACGTGGTGACGACACAATCAAGTTTCTGCAACTTATATCAATGCCACCACCAACACAGGGGACAAATACATGACAGAACAATACTCATTTACACCTGAGCTAAGTGAGTAAAGTCGTGTAAACTGCCTTTTCCAAGGGCACAAGATCGGTGGCATTTTAGGACTCGAACCCAGGACTCTTAGTTCCGAGTCGCGCACTCTGCCGCTACGCCACACGACCCAGGGTTAAATTTGGAAACGAACATGTGCAAACCTACAGACAGTCGCTCCTAATACTCTGCCAACGCAACCGTGCCGAATGCTTTCAGAGCGTGCACGTGTGCAAACATCAGCCGAACACCGGCTGACCTCTAGCCGACCCCCCCCCCCCACACTTAGGAAACGCGACCCCCCCCCAAAAAAAATAGCACACCAGGTTCCTAGTACTTAGTCCTATAAATTCAGACTGTTAATAATTCCTTGAATGTTGCTAACGGCAAAAAGAGATGGAAACGTGTCCAAGATAGTTGTCCAAAAATTCCAAAAAATAGTAGACCTCTAAACCTGCAAATTTTTATTCGGGACAGAATTGGAAAATGGCCATGGTTAGGAGAGACAACCTTCAATTAGTTGTCTAAAATGATCGAAATAGGTTGACCAGCAGTCGGGGCTGGATTGGGGAATGCTTATAATGGTTACAACATGATCGGCGTGGCCTAAACCTGGTCAGACTGCTCCCAAACACCAACCGACCACCTAGTCGCCTGGTGTTCTAAGTGACTTTTAAAAACTAGTAGGAAGTGTCGTCTAGTTCGCATCTTTTGAAATCGGTACGTCCTGTAAAGCTTAACCATTTTAGCTTCGGTTCTCGTTCTTCCTGTATTCTCATTACACGACTTCATCTGGGCACCTGCAGCTTGAATCACAGTCTTTATACCCGAGGTCTTGTTACAAGTCCAGTCTGTAGCTGCGGGTGTCCATATGAAACGATTGCTCATTATTTATTGCACTGCCCTATATACACCTACCAGCGCTTAGTCCTTTTTGGCAAGCTTTCAAGAATATTTGGACACATTATTAATCTAAACATATATGTACACACTTTCTGACAATGCTAAACAACTTTTAGTCGTTCGCGGCAGTTTGGTTTGTTAGAATGACATTACCTGTGAAATTATGTTAGCCGCGCAAAGCTGCATCACAGAAACAAAACGCTTCTACTTGTATGTGTCCTGCTATGCTTTTCTTCTCTTCTGGGATTGGAGGTTTGACTCATGCTATCCATAATTTTTCAAACGTCTTGTAAACGCCTTTTTTTCCGTTATAAAAGTGGCTGCAAGAATATAAGTTTTACCTAACTTTAGGTCGCAGTCACTTAGTCCATGTCCTTTTATTTGTATCAATCACTGTGATTCTGAATAAAAAAACAAGTATCGTCCAACAACTCCCAAACGATTGATCTGAAGAAGGTCGGTAGGGCGTCGGTGGGTACGTTTGTTGCTACAGATTATAGAAAAATATACGTCTTAGGTCAAAACAGACGGACATCTGGATCGCAGACTCTTTCAGATTCATAGATTTATTGTACAGACATCATTCATGCAGACAACAATTGAAAGAACATGTGGGGACAACATAAATATTTCCCCTATATGCGGAATAACACGTCATGGTACAGGTCTCAAAAACAGGTCGAAAATGTTGAAAATGGCATGACGTGTATTTGTAAGCTGGCCTAAACCTGTTCAGGTTAAGGCATTGAAACTATTCCTGAACCGACTCACCTTAATAACACCACACAGGAAGCGCCATCCATTGCCTTTTATTACTCTGATAGAGACTCTCTCTGCCTATAGAGCACCATGAAATCTCCTGAGCGTCTTTGCTAGGGCACTTGAATTCTGGCTAATGTGTTTATAGAGTGCCGTTACTTGTAAATAATTGAAGGACTCTGAGTCTATATCCACTTCATTTCGGCCTATAACCCCTCCAAAGTTGTAAGCAAACAGAGTAGCTTTTCACCGGTAAATATATTTGCACATGCTTTTATCCTAATTAATGAGTGGTAGACTACGTGGTAAATAAGCGTTATACGTGGCTTGTTGGCCTTATCAGTAGGTACTTTGTAGGGTCCATTGATGTAGTCTCAGACAGACTCCTTTGGTTGCTACAAATGTTAGACAATAGCCATGCTGGACGAATGATTAGCATGATCAGAGTTAGGCCACAGTAAGTAAATTGTATGGCTGACATCCACCGCAGACTCCACAACTAATGCGAGAGGGCGAAAAAAAAAGGCGGGCCCAAAAAAACAAGACTCGTATTTTTGAAATTTTGACATCATAAACCATGTTAAACAAGAAATGATACCTAATATACCTGGTCTATTGTGCTAACTTTATGGGCAACCATCGCAACATCCTTTTGTCACTGAAACAACTTTGAAAAAGGAAACTTTTCAATCATTGTACAAATGGTTTTGTTTAAACATATATAAAAGGAATGAAATACATCACTGCATTGAAGACAAAGTAAAAAAAATAATCAGAGCCTTGTCTTGTGTCTCCTCTCTTCATGTTTATCTGCCAGTTTGCCCATTTCCTAGCCTGGGTACCATCCTGATTTTCGCTTCGCAACGCTCGAAAAATTTATTTTGAGCGTTGTGGAGCAAAAATCCGGATGTTGACCACAGTCAAAGGGCAACAAAATTTCTAGTTTTTTTCCAGAATCAGGCGAAATTTTTTTTTCCTTTCAACCTTTATTTAGCCTTGAAAATGTACAGTATGTAATAGTACCACTCGGCCTGAGCCTCTTTTCAAGAGTTCAAGGCGCGCGCTGATGTCATCCATAAAATCACTTGCCGTGGCCTTAGTCGGAATTACAGATTAGTCTAGGCCCCTGGACGGCAAGCTTTTTTTCAAAAACCAAATGAGTCTGGCGGTGGCTACCATCCTTAAACAGCGATCGTGGACATTTGATATAGTACATCAAGAACACTAACAAGCTAGTAATACATAAGAAGACACAAGAAAGAAAAAAATCCGTGACTCCTAAAACTAGTCGAAGACAGACAAAAAAAAGATCCCACATTTTCCATAATGTGTGTTTTCCGATATTGTAGAATTGGAGGCTACAACAGACTTCATTCATATTGATGTAGAGAGTACAATTTAAGATAAAAAGTGTTTCGTCTTCCACAGTATGCAACGCACAGTATTTGCAAATTGACTCATACACTTAAAAATTCTTATACCACCCTCCTTTTTTTCAAGACGCATTATTTTCAAAACTTTAGGTTTCCGATACTTAGCTTATGGACCGGAAAACGTTTTTGCCTACATTAGTCACATGTTGAGTTAAATGAATACAAAAAATAAGGGAATCTAATATTCCCTTTACACGTTGTAACAAGGTTCTTCTCTGACAATGCGCATTGTGTTTGAACAAACGGGCATCAGCTTGCAATGGTTGTCTTTTATAGTCCATCTGTACAGGGAAAGCCAATATTTGATAACACGTAAAGAAGTACATTCACCTAATGGGAGTCTAACCTATGGTGAGTTTTATTACTGCTATTCCTAAATACCCTAGTATAAATTTACAAGAACGAATGTGGGTAATTTCGACTGTTGGATTGTCATTCATGGATTCTGTGCCCAAATTTCGCATCTTTACAGAATGATTGGCTTTTAAGTATCGATAAAAAATAATACAAGAGTTCATTTCCGAAATGTTTTCTGAGAAGTGTTTCTATGATAAAAAGGTTTTCATTTGTGCCAATTTAAAGTCGGCATGATTCGGAGAAACACGTTCATTTATTTTCGTCATTTGGTTAGGTGAGTATTGGGAGAACATGCAAACAATTTCAAAGTCTTAGTCAACTTGTTACAGAGACTCCTCTAGTCGTCATTTGCTCTACATTAATGAATATTATAGCGATTAAAATCTATGTCTATTTGTAATTAAAACGTATGTGTATGAAGCTCACAATTCTTTCATTGATTGCGGCGCTACCATTTGACTTTTACACCGAGCTCAAGGGTGGTAGGTAGTTTTGGGCAGTTAATGACCTTTTTGTGTACACCCTGCCTTTTTGTCTAACAGGCAGATGATTTTCTGCGTCAAACAACGTGGGCCAAACGTAGTAATCTATCATTTCGGTATCGCCTACAATGGACTCACAGTCGTAAGCACGCTCGTGAATAGTCGGATCAAATGGTATGCCTGTTTCAACGCTGATTGTCATGGGAGGAGTCTGGACGTTCATTCGCCAGGCAAGTCGGCAGCATTCCGATATGTACGTTTTTAAACCCTTCTTGTTACCGCTGCAGATTACTGTGGTCAGAATGTGGGGTTGGTATTTTTCCTTCTTACTCATGCATTCTTGTACCCTCTGTTGGGAGATTAAGATAGAGTTACGTTGGGCATCAACCAATTGCAAATTGAAAACAACATAAATGATGCACAATAGAATTAACTTTTATGGATTCAAATGTTGAATTTCCTAGTGTAAGTTTATTTCTTTAAGAAAATTCATTTGTTTAAGAAAACAGTTCCACTAACAATAATTCTGTTGCTTGCCATACTTCTTAGTGCATAATTTATGTCATGCATTTGTTGAAAAGTTGAAAGATGTTACTGTTAGGCAGGTATGATGCGTTGAAACAAAAGTATCGTACCTTAATGATGTCGTCAATGTTGCATTTGTCTGACCGTTCTTGGATAATGCCCTTGACTTTCCTCTGTAAGTCATTCTGCATATCAGTGGGCTCTACGCTTTGGTTTGATGCCTGTCCCACCATTACCTGTGGTAAGACATCAGATGTCAGTGTAATTATCATGTAATATAATACATATTAGATGTTGGGCACCAAAGCTACTTTCCTGGGCCTGCTAGATTCGTTGTAGCTAGCATAAATAGAATGTTCCTGATGGTAGTTATGATCAGTAGTGGAATGCGTTTTAAAATAAATACCAACCTGTGAAGTAGCATCATACGTAGTGTGTTTCTTTCCAATCTCTTGTACAGGTTCTATCAACAAATTGGTCAAGCTGGTGGTGAACAATGTCAGCATTTCCTCAGATATCCTCATCGCCTCCTGTAGGATAAAATATGGTAGGATTTCATTATGGCCTCGCCACTATGAGGTGAAGTCATATTGTTTTTGCTCACGTTTCTTCTCCTCCAATGTATCGTTGTTCTGGCAACATTGTAGTCAATACTCGCGCTGATCTTAATCAAAACTACACATGAAACTGTTCATTACACATGTATGTTTCAGTATATCCCAATCCAAGATCGCTATATTTACAAATTGTACAATTTTTTTACGATCAAAATTTCTGGGCTCACGTTACGAAGCGCTCCCTCCCAATCGAGTGCTCCACTGCGGGAGATTTATTGAATTTGATCCAAAGCAAATATCGGCCTTTCTAGTTATTTGAATAATTTTCCATGTATGGGTACCTAAAATTAGATTTATTGAATTTCTTCAGGTAGATGGATTTTTTGGAATTAATGTGAGCAGCTTCGAGGAAATGTTAGATACCATCAAGATTTCCCTTTGTTTATAATTAATTTCCAATACGTTATGTTGTATTTCCCATAATGTTTTCATACCATATGTCTGCAAAGCTGCTTAATGATGGTACTCTTACGCATGTTTAAAGTATAGTCAGAAACCTGACTATTTGATAGAAATCCTACCACGAAAACGTCACAAAGGTACTGTGTAACGATTTCTTTCTTGCAGTAGTGGATCGAATCCAGCTCCTCCTTAGCTGCGAGCCATTCCACCGTCTCCAACTCTTTGTACCGGTTCGCCAAGTTGTATGGCCGACATCGTCTCGTAGTATCTTCAAGACTGAGTTCGTTCATGGTTATGTCGTTGCTCATGCTTCGAGAAATCCTGTAATTCAGGGACGCACGCAATTTGTAGTAAGGATCTATCATTGAGAAGGTAGGGACTAGCTTAAGCGTGCATTTTTAAATGTGTTTAAAAACACACTGTGTGCATTTAAAATCATCCCTCGAACAAATCTACTAGAAAAATTATAATAATATAAACATGCCATTCTCCAAGCCAGTTAAAAACATCTATGTAGCGCATTCATTAAAGGGAATAACATTGAGGGAATATTTGTAATTGAGTATATTGGCTGTCCTAAAAAAAGTAATTCAGTTAAGACTACCATAAGCACGAAGATTTAATTGAAATATTGTACATCAGATTAGTTTGAGTTTTGATTAGTCAAAACTAAAACGTGAGAATTATTTTTACTATTCCTCCGAGCTATCAGTATCAACGTTACTGTCGTTGTCTCGCAGCAAATAAAAATGTCCGTACCTGTTCCTTAGCGCCTGACAAGTGTTAGCATCCGCCTGCTGTTGACGACGTAAGGTTTTATTCTCTTGTTGTAGTATTGTAGCGGCATCATAAAGAGAATAATACGTCTGCTGCAAAAACCTTACTTCTCTGTCAACTTTATCGGTAATATCTGATTTACTGTGATGACTAAAGACGGTTCCAATTCTGTGAAGATTTGGCCAGTCATATTTTGCACGGGTTTGCCAATTTTCTGGGACAGACATATTCAGATTAGCTTCGTGTGTCTTAAAAGATGTAGTGATCCGTCCACAGATCTGTAGTGCCGTCAACACGTATATACCAGAAAGGCTCGCAAAGAAATGTGTGGTCAGTTCACGTGACGTTGTATGCCATACTTTTCTCTGTTTATTGAGCCTCGGCCAATCAGGGAGGGGCTGGTACGGGCATGCTCACAAGGGCGTTTAGATACCTGCATTGCTACTACTAGCGATACATACAAAACACATGCATCGTCAGGATACTGTTATTTGCACATGTATTATTAGTTTTTTTTTTTTTCAACCCAAGTAAGGACATGCTTTTTTTTAATACTGAGCAAGGCATACATGTAACCTACAACATTTTTTCATGATAAAATATCAACTTGATGGTTTTTAATACTTGTTATTGTTAAAGGTTGTGTCGGGGAGAATTGTCACAATTCACTAGTGAATATAGTGAATAACATTGTTTAAAAGCGTCCCCTGGCGAGTTAAATCTGCATTGTGCGAGTACTGATATACTGACCAGCTCACTATTAGTAAAACAAGACCATGGCCTATTTCCACTAACAAATCTACTTAACTATGAAATAAAGACTAAGCTTTAACTTATATAGACTAAGCTTTAACTTCCAACACTTAGATTACAGAATTAGGACTTACCCCAAATCTACTCAACAATGACTCTTCCTATAATGTAATGCACGTTTGTTCGAAGAGCGTGTTTAAAACAGCAAATATTCAACAGTGTCCGATATTCCAGTTTATAGCCGTATGCTTAACTTTTAGCACAGTGTCATCTAAACTAAGAAGAAGAATTAACCATGTGCTACAGATGGCCATAACATACGGAAGTCTATACATGCAAATTGCATACTAATGGCCCTCTTCTCAACATCACAGAATCATAATCATGTATAAGATATTAAGCAAAAAAAAAATGATCCAGTGATACACATGCTCAGTACTACAGTAGAAAAACTCGCCACTCTTTGTGTTCAATAAATGTACCTCTAAGATCCACGTCACCTCTGGGTATTGACTTGAATTCGAATTCATCTTATAAACGGGATACTACCTAAACATTTTCCTAGCGAAACAGTTTGAGATTCGTACATTTTGAAATCTGCAAGATATTTGTTTGAACGATCTTATTCTTCAAAGCCCTTAAGATATATATATATATATATATATATATATATATATATATATATATGTACATGGTCATACAATGTAAATATAAATATGCGTAATTTAGCAACAGTTATAATCATTGATAACAATGTGTGTTCCATTTTTCCAGAAATTGTCTGAGTATAGATACGTGCTAGTGAACATCATATACATATCATACATGACAATACTGATTATATAACTGAAAATCAAATATAAGTTTGACACAAGTTCATAAAAATTAGGAATACATCATCTTTCTTTCTATAATCGTCTTTCCATTCTAACCAAGAAATAAATATTGCGTATTTAGCAACAGTTATGAGATTTGCACTACGACTTCTCACCAGTAACACTTCTTGATCATTAATAACAGTGTGTGTTTCATTTTCTATCCTACTCCAGAAGTTGTGTAATCTACGACACTCCAAAAACATATGTTGATAATTTTCAAGTTTGTTGCACAATTCACAGTAAGGACTGTAAATATTTCCTGATACATTTCGTATTTTCCACTTATGTAGCAAGTTACGAGGCAAAATTCTGTGTAATAACTTGGTATTAAATTCGCGCTATTTGTTATTCTTAATTTGACAGATCTGACATTTCCATATATAGCCTTCCAGCAAGATATTGCAGTACTTGATTTCTATGGTCCATGCACCTCGAAAAGTGGCACAGCTGCAGTTCTCACAGCTCTTGATAGATGGGGCTACTTCATAGCATGTAAAACGCTGAGGGTAAAATTCTTGTCTTAAAATTCTTGAAAGTAACGGAAACATGTCGGGGCAGCACTTTACGAAATTCCTCTATCAGATCTATGGTGAAAAGGGGATTGGCGAAGTTAGGTGTAATATCCCGGTTTAATCCACTGCATGTTTAACACAGAAATCCAGACAATTTTCAGACACTTCTCATTTGTCAGTCCCTGCCACCACCTTGTCGACACGCTGTATGGATTTAGAGCCAAACAATGCACAAAAATAATACAGAAAAGAAAAACATATGTCTGATTCATCTATCAGCGCTTATTTTAGGAGATAACTCAAGAAACGGTTGACTTTTGGCATGTAGGTAGCATAAGTAATGCTCACTTGAGGACAATTATGGAAATCAGTATCTAATTTTATTAATCAATGAGAAAATCCTATAAATCTGCTGCCTTACAATCTGCTATCTGACATTGGTTTAATGACACAATGATATAATTCCATAATGGGGATTTAATCAAATTACTTGCATAATTTATAAGAAAAGGCTAGATAAGACTTGTCATTGAATCGAAAATATGAAATATCACTAAGCAAATCAGGATCTAGTTTGCATGATCATTGAGAAATATTGATAATTTGTTTGCCATAAAGGTTCACATTGCTTGGCAAAGCTCCTTCAGGAGCAAAGGTATGAGATCGTGGATTTAAAAAAAACCATATATACAACAAAGTCTACACAACAGTACAAGTAATTTTTGAAGACCGCTTATCGTTTTATAATCTTTGGATATCAAAAAAATGGAAAACCTATTAGAAAGGTAATATTATTTTTCTCTAGTAAACATTTCTTGATATTATTACGTATCGTCTGTATTTTAAAGGGATTTTAGTCCAAAAATGGTATACAACACAGTCTACAGAACAACAGTACATTTAATTTTTGAATGCTGCTTTTTGTCTTACAACCTTTGACTATCCGATAAGACAAAAACCGGTTAGAAAGGTGACTTTGATTTTCTTGGTATGACTACGTACCATCTGTAAAAAAAAAGACTTTTAGTCAAAAATGACATACAATACAGTCTACACAATTGAAACAACATGTACAAAGTACATTTAATTTTTGAATTCTGCTTTTCATTTTACAATCTTTGGCTATCCGAAAAGACCAAAACCTGTTAGAAAGGTTAATTTTCTCTAGTAAACATTTTTTTGGTATGACTACGTACGATCTGTATAAAAATGATTTTACTAAAACATTACATACAACACAGTCTACTCAACAGTACAAGCCAGTTTTGAATGCTGCTTTTCCTTTACAATCTTTGGCTATCAGAAAAGAGGGAAATCTGTTAGAAGGTAATATCATTTTTCTCTATTTAACATTTCTTGATGTCACTAAGTATCATCTGCATTTTAAAACGAATTTTAGTGAAAAATGGTATACAACACAGTCTACTCAACAGACAAAAAGCTGGTTGGAAAGTGACTTTGATTTTCAGACGAAAACCTGTTAGAAAGGTGACCTTGATTTTCTCTATTAAACATTTCTTGGTATGACTACGTGTCATCTGTATTTAAAGAAATATCAAAGTCAAAAATGATATACAACACAGTCTACAAACTTTTTGAATGCTGCTTTTAGTTTAACAATCTTTGGCTTTCCAAAAAAGACGAAAACCTGTAAGAAAGGTGACTCTAGTAAACATTCATTGATATCACTAGTAGATTATCCGTGCTACCGTGGGCTCACCTAGTCAGTTAATTGCCGTATTTTTGCCGAATTCTACTATTCTTAACCCCGTAGGAACACCTGGTGGAAGCTACAACCAACCGACATGTTTCAGTTTTTTAAACCCATGCTTACGTGTTGTCTGTTTTAAGCGTTAGACGTTATAATGTTAACGTTTCATTTATTTATTTGTAAAGATTTACCACATTTGTGGAAGGATTGACATAACAGGTGACTATCACCTCTTCAAAGATATCAAACCTGACACCAAACTGTAAGGTTTGAACCACTCACACCGGGAAGGTCCCTTTTCGATAAGTGCGGTGGGTTCTTTAACGTGCGTGGGGTGTGGCTCTCCCAAACACGGGACCTCCATTTAACGTCCTATTCGAGGGACGTCCCTAACCGAAGCTAGGTACTCATTCTCACCTGAGTGAAGTGAGGAAAGTCGTGTAAAGTACCTTTTTCAAGGGTACAACGTTGGGGCGCATGTTCGGACTTGTTCGGGTACGACCCGGAATCGAACCATGGTCTCCCCGTTTCATAGTCCAGTTCACACTTAGTATAGTGGAAGTCACCTTAATCTCGATGCAGAAACAGACGGCACATATGCTATGGCATCATTTTTGTAATAAAAATCTTTTCAAAAAAGTACCTTAGATTGACGTAAATAGGTCTGCTATGCTGCCTTAAAAAGGGGCGTTTTGAATGCACGACAGGCCACGAACACGGACTTCCATGTGTGACATGCTAGTTGTTTCTATTCAAGGTACCTTTTTTGGAAACGATTTTTTGACACGGAATATGCTAGGTATAATAAAGGCCCTTACATAAGGCGCCTGCCGTGCATTCAAAACGCCCCTTTGAAGGCAGCATAGCTGATCTATTTACGTCAATCTAAGGTACCTTTTTTGGCACAAAAATGATGCCATACATATGCAGCGTCAATCATTTATAACGTTTTATTCAGAAAGCCATAGAGTGTCCAAGGGTGATACATACACTCACAGACAGCCCTGTTTAAACCTATAGCGAAACAGACAATCGTTGAGAGGCGCTAAAGTGCCCAGCCCGGCCCGTGACTGGTCCATGGGAGGAGTCTCCATGTCAATTAATTCCATGTCGAAGTAGCAGACGACGATGGTGACCAGCTGTTTGATCTCGTTCAGCGCGAAGAACCGGCCCGGACACATGCTGACGCCATGACCGAACGGAAGCAGGTAGTGACGTAACTTCCGACCGTTCTTGTAAAACGCGGTCTTCTCCTGGCCGTCTTCCAAGAAACGGTCGTACTTGAAGGTCTGAAACAAATGTTAAAGAACCCATCACACCTATCGAAAAGAGTAGGCGTCAGTTGTACCCGATATCGAACTTAACTGGTCGTACTTGAAGGGAGAAATCTTTATATATATATATATAACGAACCCACCATACTCATCGAAAATAGTAGAAGTCTGCTGTATCCAGAACCGTGCACGTGCTTTATCCGGAACCATGTTTTACGTGATTCTTCCAGACCCGGTTCTGGATAGCCCACGCGTATCCAGAACTGTGCCTGGGGCAAATCTACGCTCTTGGACTATCCAGAACCGTGCCTGTCGCTATCCCAAACCCATGCAGGAATAGAACTAGATCCATCCCGGTATAAGTGGTTCAAAACTTATCCACGTGTATCAAGAACTGTGCCTGGGGCAAGTCTACGTACCTGGGTACGCGGAGACTAGTTCAGACAGTCAGCGGTTTGGAGAACTAGCACAAAACATGCCATGCACGACACAGTGCTCATTAGGTGATACCTGGTGCGATCGTTAGCTGATCATTAATTAGTTGATTACTAATTATTAGTAGCTAGCGCCGGTCATTTGGTGATCGCCTACTTTCAGCCCTGTACTGTGAGATAGGGTTAGACCTTTACCTTTACTAACTATTCCTCTGTTTATTACCTTCGCTAAGAAGGTTATGTTTTCGTTGGCGTTCGTGTGTCTGTGTGTGTGTGTGTGTGTGTGAGCACGATAACTCAAGAACGCTAAGATGGATTGTCTTGATACTTGGTAGGTGGGTAGATCTTCATGAGACGTGGAACTGATTAAATTTTGGGCCCCCCATGTCTGGAATTGCAGGGGCATTAGTTGAAAAATGTTTAAAGGCGGATAACTCAAGAACCGATTGATGGATCGTCGTGATTTTTTGGCATGTAGGTAGCTGAAGTGATGCTTGACATAATGTTATTACAATTATGCAAATATTAATGTAATTTGCATAATTAATGAGGAAATTCTATATATCAGCTATTCCATGATAGGACTATTCAAGCTTGTGATATATGTAATGCAGAACGGCAGAAATACAGGCAGATATCGATTATGCAAATGAAGACTTAATTTGCATAATTAACGAGAAAATGTTATAATTACATAGTGGTAATGCCTGGAATTTCATACTTGGGATATTTGAAAGTTATGTGAAGGTGAACATTATTAAACATAATTTATTCAAATAAGGACCTCATTTGCATAATTTATGAGGACATGCTATAATGGCATGCATTGATAAGATAAGACTGTCTTCTGGTGTAGAATCTGATCAACAGATATAATTGATGCAATATAGGATCCTATTCGCACAATCAGGGGGATTCATCTATAATTTCTTAGTCATAAAGGCTAACATCATTTGGCGAAGGTATGAGATCGTGGAACTCTAGTTCTTAATCAAACACATTCACATATATATTGTTTGTCACATATCTGTTCTGCCACTTGCTACATAATGTGATCCAACACAACAGGGTGTCTGGTACAGCATCAGTTACCATGGTGACGGACTGGCAGCCATCTGTTCCTGGTCACTGTCTTTTTATTTGGAGAAAAAAATGGGGAAAAAAGTACTAAAAACAATTTTTTTGCGAATTTTCTGCAAAGGTATTTACATGATAAAGGGAGATAAGAAAGATACCTCAGGATCATCGTAGACTTCGGGATCCATATGCAGAAAGCCCGGATATAGACCCACCCTGTCCCCCTTGCGGATGCGGAAGGTACTGCCGGACTCCAGGGCCAGCTCGGCGTCTTCGGTGGCCACGCGGATGATGATCGAGGCACTGCACATGCGCAATGCCTCGTTGATAGCGCTCCCTGCATCGAGAGTGAATTTTAACCTCATTGTTTCTTCTCGATTCAACAGCCATGGAGGTATTTTGGGTTTTCGTGTAGCTATTTTTTTCAATTAAATTCAATTCTTTATTAAGATACCAAAACATAACAGACAAACATGACATACAATGTTGCCTGAATGGCGTTGATATTTACAAGATAAAATTATATATTTACAACAACTATAAAAACAGTACAGTAGGTGTACAACCCAGATATCCACAAGGTCCATTATCTTGTGCCAGACTCTATCTGTACAGTCTGGATATAGAGTCTGATTGACTGGTGGAGGAAAGAGTTCTGTAGTCTTTTTGTTCTGGCGGGTGGATAGAGATAGTGTTTTTGTTCCTGAGTGAACGACCGGTAGCTGTAGATCTGGAGAGAGGGAAAGGTCATGTAGGGGACGAAAGAAATAAAATTTGTACAACGAAGAAAAAGCATTTGTACGGCGGACACATTAATATGTATCGCCTGGTGAAATACGTACATAAATACAAACAAATCGAGAAGATTGTATGATCGTACTTTGTTAGGAAATAGGACAGAAACGGTGCAGGCTCTTCAGGCTCACACAACAGTGGAAATTGGCTAAATAGACTGAAAAGTATGACAGAGGAGTTAGCCTATGTTGCAAATGTTACTCCCCTGGTCGGCTAACTTTTCTGGTATACTATTCAGTCTACAGTTTATTTACCCATTGTCTACTATTTCTTTAACTTGAACAGCCTAGTAGATGGTCTGGTTGCCATCCTCCGTAGTTTTCGACCACTCCCTAATGTCACTGGCTACTGTGGCCAGCGACATTAGGGAGCGGGCGAAAACTACAGAGGATGGCACCCAGGCTATAGTAGAGGCTAATGATTTAGCAATCCACGCACCGAGGGATTTCATGTCGTTCAACTGCTGCCTCGTCACGTGGATCATCTCGCCTCCCTCCTTCACGTTCTCCAAGGTCTGACCGGTCTCCTTCAGAAGCTGGAGAGAACAGACAAAAAAAAAAACATAACCTTGTTGGTGAAGGTAAAAAGTGAAAGTGATCTCGAGCCAGTTTAACTCTCTGACGAGCTACTCTTCCACTGGTCGTGACAGAGAAGACAGACGCTATGTACAGTATTTACAGGTTCATTGTAACGGGGAAATTTCCCTAGCTATTTTTCGACAAGCACAATGAACAATGGACCACGGCTTAACGTCCCGTCCTAAGGACTGCCATCCTAAACAGTAGCGTGCATGTCGGGTGAGCGACAACAGCCGGAATTCGAACTCCCAACCTCTTAGTCCAGAGGCAGGATCGCTAACCACTGGACTACGCACGCTACGCACAAAGATTAAACAGTTCATAGTATTGATGGATCTTTACGTTCACGATGATCATTAAATCGTTTTCTTATCGCCTTTTCTTTTTCTTTCCTTCTTATTCTGTTTCTTGATCAGCTGCCATCCCGCCACGTGCCTTTGAAGCTGGTGTATCTGTGTTACGCCGAAGGGCTGTTATACCGGCTACCACAAGATACAGGAATAAAACAAGATTAAATAGTTCAGAGTATTAATGGATCCTTGTGTTCATGATGATCATCAAAGCGTTTTCTTTCGATACATTAGTTTTGATTGTGGAGATAAACAAATAAGATAACCAGAAGAATAAATAAAGAACTAAACGAGAGAAATAACATTTGGAAAGTAAATGCATATGTTTACCTTCACATGGTAAACATTATTATAGTCCAACAAGCTCTATGTGTTGGACCAAAAGTTTAAACTTTAAGCATGTTACTACCAACACAGATAAAGTTTTATGATACTGCTCTGTTTATTGTCAAGCAAACACATTCATATATAATATATAGTGATCAGCCTCTCCAACTGTCCAGCTACATAATGGAACGCAACACCACAGGGTGTTTGTCATAGCACTAGTTACCATAGTGATAGACGTCTGGTACAGGTCATTGACTTTCTTTTGCTTTTTGGGGAAGAAGAAGAAAAGAAATAAAAAACAGAACAAGAACAATTATGTTTTGTTTTGCAAACTTTAAGGTAAACATAATGTAGCATTTACCTGATCCACCTCGGCCCTGACGGCGTCCATGGCGACCGGATCCTTCAGCAGGTGGTACAGGGTCCAGAAGGCGGCGGGGACCGTGTTACTCTGGGGTGGACAAGAAAGAGTGTTACTCCATAGTGCAGCAGGTGGTACAGGGTCCAGAAGGCGGCGGGGACCGTGTTACTCTGGGGTGGACAAGAAAGAGTGTTACTCTATAGTGCAGCAGGTGGTACAGGGTCCAGAAGGCGGCGGGGACCGTGTTACTCTGGAGTAGACAAGAAAGAGTGTTACTCTGCAGTGACGAGGGAGCGTTGTGTCCACAAAATGGATCATTGAGAAGCTTATCCAGGACTATGCACACTGGCGAAACCTGTGCAGAGGTGGAGTGTCGCCTCACACTCGGTAGGTAGTTAGTTCCATCTCAGCTGAGTCAAAGACTTTAAAATCGTACATACAGCTTTCTCTGCTTGGCACCAAGTACTTGGCTAGTAGTAGACTCGCCACATTCTTTTAGGCTACAGAACTGGAGCTTGGCGCCACTGTATGCACCATTTGGTGTGGAAATGAATTCAACATACATTAGCCAAATGCGGTATTTCGTATGTCGTTTTGTACGTACGTATTTTTGAAATCTTGTGATGTTGATTCTTACATACCAGCGAAGCCCACATGGTTGCGAAGTTGAAGGCCGCCTTCTCGTCAGCAGACAGCTCTCCGTCTGTGTAAATCTCCTGCCGCATCTGCATAAAGTCGGACAAGCCCCGCTGGCTCAGCTCAGCCGGAGATACCATGGACTAAAAACACAACAAGCTAAAGCTCTGTTTTCTTAAATTTACACATAGTCCTTTATTTGTTTGCTGCTTACTGCTCTAACTGATCTGTTTATTCTTGATTCTTAATTATATTATTACTCAAACACATTCATATACAAGGTAACCAGCCCCTCCAGCGCTCTGACACTTGCTGCATGACATAATTCAACACCAGAGGGTGTCTGCTACAGCACCAGTTACCATGGTGGCAGACGTCTGGTCCGAGCAAAACCAATGTTTCCCTTCTGTGAAGGTAAACATAAATAACCAGGGCATGTATTACATACCTTCAGATATTCGTATCGCTTCCTGGTTTGTCCCATGAGCCACCACGGCACGTTCGAAATGATTTCTGGGAAGCGCTTGTCGTATTTCTGAAACTCTTCCATGGAGTGAACCAGTCGGGCGGTCTCGTCTTTGTTTTCCTTGTGTCTCCCGAACAGCGTCCTGAAGGATGCTGTGGAACACCAACTTTTATTTCTTTGTTTCTTTGGATATGTTTGCTTGAATTGTAAGTCTATGCTGAGACTAGTTTTCCTCACTATTTCGTAGATTGTGTTGCAAGATGATAAATCAAAAGGAAGTTAGATTTGCTTATTTTTGTTTCAACAGAGAAACGAAATTGTAGTTGCGAATTGCTCACGACCTCGAACTTTGAAATTACATCGCACTTTTCAGCTGTGTGAACGTTAGAACTTTTAAGCTTAAAAACGAGATTTCATTTTACTGAGCAAACTTGGATACGATCCCACAAAGACTCCGATAAAACCGACCAAACTCTTCATAGATACCATTATGATATCATTTATGATACACATATAGCTTTATTGATCTTTCATAAGACAGGCTAGCAGAAACATAGCTGCATTATTTGGTACTACAATGCACGACTACGAGGGTGGGTCAAAAAGTTCTCGGCCTCACCTAGAAAACGTCGTGGCAGAAAAAAATTTCTTACACTATGTTTCAACATAGTCCCCTCTAACTGCAATGCACTTGGTCCAGTGATGTTCCGGGTTTGTTTTCCCCTTGTGGAATAAGGTTGAATCTGGAGCCCCCAGATAGGGCTCACCCGCACTGATGACGTCATCATTACCATAAAAACGTTGACCACGTAAGTGGAACTTCAGTTTAGGAAATAGGTAGAAGTCCGAGGGTGCTAGGTCAGGTGAATTGGAAGGGTGGGGTTAGACTTCAAAGCCAAATTCGTTTGCTGCTGTCACTGACCCCTGTGCTGTGTGGACAGGTGCATTGTCATCACGCCAGCTCGGTGCTTTCCTCTCCTTATCTCTTTGATCGTTGTCCTCAACTGTTGCTATTCTGTTGAATAGTACTCCCCATTGATGTTTTAACCTATTCACAGGTATTCAGTCATGATTACTCCCTTGCTGTCCAAGAAAACAGAGACAAAACCCCTGTCAACGGATGAAACTCGATAAAACTTCTTGGGGGCCGGGAAACATTCTTCATTCATTGTTTGTTCTGTTGTTTTCATTTGGGGTGAAAGTGGTGAAACCATGTCTCATCTTGGGTGAAAAATGTTTTGAGGTAATTGCATGGATTGGACTGAATTCGTTCCTTGAAATGTCCAGCTTGTTTAACTTCTGATGTTCAGAAAACATTCTAGGCACCCACCTTACAGACAGGTTGCTCATCCCCAGGATGTCTGACAAAACATTGTGAACAGAGCCACAACACAGGCTAAAGACTCTGCTACATGTTGGACAGTCTCACATCTGTCATTTACTACCATGTGATGGATGGCCTCAACTGGATTGTCCATGGTGCTGATTTGTGGCATCCTGACATATGTTCATCTTTGGTGCTCACCTTGCAGCGCTTGTAGCTAGCAACCCACTTCTTTATAGTTGAAAAAGAAGGAGAGTCATCACCAAGTGTCCTGACCACGTGTTCATGGATTTCCTTACGAGAAATCCCTTTTTATCGATATACATGATCACAGCACACGCTTCTGTGGCGGCCATTTTGTGATTTTGCCCTCACCCGCCCCATTTTCACGGGGCGTCACGTGCTAACTAATGAATATAGAAATTTGAATTTTTGTGTGCAGTGATGTAAGACATCATAGTATACAGTTATGCTAAAGAATAGGAGTTTGCCCTTTATTTTCTAGGTGAGGCCGAGAACTTTTTGATCCACCCTCGTACCTCAAGAATGTCTTCATGTTTGCAACCGTATGATAACTGTGTCTGAGCCCTTACCACTGAACATGATCCTGTAGACGAACGCCCACAGCTCTCCCCTGTTCCACTCCTGCTGCACGTCCGTGGCGGAAAACATGGCGGACAGGAGGTTTCCCATCATCACCTGCAACAGCCACACGGTTGGTCTTATTCTTTTGTTGAGAAATTACTGTTTGCGTACTTGTCAGTTCTACCCAGTCAGATCAAGACATATCCACGTAGGACACTGTTGTATTGAGAGTCTAATCTGCAATCAGATTCTGTGCGGCAAGGGGGACTTGGATACAGGCGGCCAGCCCCCTTGCCCCGGCCGCCATCAATCTGATTGAAGACTATTATCATGCCCCAAGATTTGCCCCAAGTACGGTTACGGGTGGACTATCCGATACCGTGCACGTGTTTGAGGCAAATCTACACAGTAGTACGCTCTTGGATATGCGGAGACTATCCAAGACCGTCCCTGATCCCAACAAGCATAGAAATTGATGTAGAAATAAAACTAGACATACATATACGTACAAGCATGTACGTACCTCTATAAACTTAAATGTGTCCGATTCGTGAATTGTTACACTAGACAAAATCGCAACATTGTTTCAGGATCGAATGTACATACCTCTGTCACCTTGTCCAGCCCCTGTCCCTGTAGTTCCTGCGGGTAGAGCGCAACGCTGTCGACCCGGACCCAGTCGCGGGGGGTGCCGTACACTATCGGCATGCCGAAAGCGCGATGGGCGATCTTTGACGAAAACAGTCGGAAGTCCAGAACCCTAGAAAGTAACAGTAACACTATGGCATTTTCAAGCATAATGTTTACCTTCACATGGTCTAGCGTCACAAACTACTGTTCTGTTTAATCTTACTCAAACACACACACACACACACACAGAAAGAGAGAGAGAGAGAGAGAAATACTGACTTGCTGTTTCTGATAGCATGAGTGAAAGAGTGCGGGTCCAGTACGAATGTGGTGTAGTCTCCCGCCAGCCGGACGGTGAACACGTCGCCATACTTCTTCCAGCGTGACGTGATGAAGCCCAGGGGGTTCTGGGAGAACTCCAGAGCGACGCCCAGGTACGGAAGCGGTCCCCGCTCCAACGGGGGCTCACCTGGTCTCCTGTGGGAAAGAGAGGGGGGGATGATGTATCCAGAACCATGCTTAATCCAGAATACGCGTATCCAGAACCGGCGCACAGCACGAAAACACATATTTAAGCCAACTTTACGAACTGCGTTAAGAAGTATTAAAGGAGGCGAAATATTTTAGCAGCCTTTACGACATCGGAAAGGCAACTGAAAGGGAAATATGGCCTTTCCGTAACATTTCCACATCAGTAAATGTAACGTTGATATAACGTGTTTTTCCGTACGTTTTACATGGACTTTAATACAATATAAAAAGGCATTGCAATAATGAGTTAACTAGAGGCATCTCCAGGGTTGGACAAGTCCCATTGCCCACTTGCCCAGGGCAAGTAAAAGTACTGTTCAGGCAAGTAAATATCCCCCTGTACTTGCCCGATTGGGCAAGTAAATTTTTGGGATGTGGCATTATGCCCCAGTGTTTGGAGCAAAATCTCTCATCATTTTCCCATAATGTATTCCCATAATATGACTTTTTATCAGCCAACCATTTGCAAGTCTCAAACCTCCTTACTTTGGAAAATATTGGTCAAGTATAGAACAAAAAATTCTTTGCGGTAAAAATGTATGAAATAGGTCATTTATATTTTGCATTGCAAGTCATTGCAAGTAAAAAGTTGGTTCGGGCAAGTAGAAATGACCATGTGCTTGCCCGATGGGGCAAGTGTATTTTTGAAAACTTGTCCAATCCTGATCTCAAAAGCCATACGATCTTTTTGATTATTATGACTTAGTTGTTACCAACCTCGTTCGACTAAACACAAGTATCATTTTATATGCTATTTAATCTTTGGTTTTACCTGAAATATTAAATATCGTCCATAATTTGATGCTGAATCGCCGCAAGATATAACATTATTATGCCTAGTCATTTTATATGTTTATGTCTGGCCTTCCAAAAACATACGGTTCCTTTCCTCGTTCTATAAACAAGCTTTCCGCCGACTGGGAGACATTCCCCCTTATACAGTACAGGCGTCAAAAAGCTACAGGAAATGTTGCGTTTCTATGTCTTTTCTTATAGTCGCAAAGTTTTCCCAAATTGTAGTAAGTGCCATGTTTTTCACACTTATCTGAGAGCGAAAAATGCAACAACATATGATTAGTCCTTTCTATATGTTTATATTGGCTTTCCAAAATATAGTATACTGTAATACGGTTCCTTTCCTCATTCTATAAACAAGCTTTCCGCCGACTGAGAGACATCTCCCCCTGTACTCGTACAGTAAAGGCGTCGTTAAGCTACAGGAAATCCGTGTCAATACGTACGGCGCTGTATGTACTGAGTTCCTGAACATTTAGAACTCATAGAATATGTTTAACTCGAGACAGATAAAAAATTATTTTCAAAACCGAGATGGACTATAATACTGGGTTACTGTAAACTACTTTAACTGTCCTTTAGATTGAACGACTCTTTCGTTATCAGCCAGGAACCCACAATTTCTCAGTCAACAACCTACCCGAAGTTTACTACGGTCCGTGTCAATACGTACGGCGTTGTATGTACTGAGTTCCTGAATATTTAGAACTTAAAGAATATGTTTAACTCGAGACAGATAAGACATTTTTCAAACCGAGATAGACTATAATACTGCAAACTGGCAAGGCAGTATCAAAGTTACACTTTGTTTAATTCACAATAATTTATATTTAACTGCAGGTGCAGTTAACGATGTGGTCGCAATGCGACCCTTCATCGGGCCCAGACAAGTTTATGCACACACTGGAACATAATTTCGTCATAAAGAATTTATGTTTTCTGTACTCGAAGCTGCATGATTAAAGCTCATAATCATATCAAGGACGTTTAGAATCTTGATCATATTTAACGATTGTATGTGGTACAACGTATGGCAACTACAACAGTTCTAGAAAACTCCTTTACTTTCCAGAAGATTATGTACAATAAGTATAGTACTTAGTATCAGTAGTATAGAATGGCACAACTAGTCTCATGTTTAGATAGAGCCACACCTTGAGCATGTTAAAAATCCCACCACACCAATGACCCCATTAAACCTATGACTCCAGTCATGTACAGCCTGTACCAAATGTACAAATCTGTTTGTTGAATGTACCGGTTCACTTGCCCGGCTGATCATGACCGCATAGGAACATAACAAGTGCAGAGGGACAAGGTGTTGCCCGTAATCGGCTGGGCAACAGCTTTACGACAGTGTTCTGTAGACTGTTTCTGTGTCTGTATAACCACAGAGGTAACGGCCTTTAATTCTAAACAACAGTTCAAAGACTTCATACATCCATGGAATATGGGCTTGAGTTCCAGAACAAGCTGCTAGGGGGACCAAACCCACACCACTTATTAGGAAAAGCTAATTGCCACACAAAAATCAAGACCTTACCATGCCCAGGACAAAAGATGCAAAAACTAGAAGCTCTGCTGCATTACCAAGGTCATCCAGCAGGAGGCCCAAAATTGACCTTGACCATTGCCTGCCCAACACCTACCCACATACCAAACATCATGATTACAATCCATCCAAAGGTTCAAAAGTTATGCTGGCCGCAAATGTCCGGAAACGCATTCAAACACACAGACAGACACGCCAAAAACAATACCTCCATTTTTCATGGAGGTAATAATTACTAACTATAAATATTACAGACATGCCTTTTTAACAAGTAGCCTGAATGCCGTTGAGATTTACAAATTAAAATGCAGGCGCACGGCGCGACGGTAGGTGATTAATATATATTACACTGAACCACTAAACCTCTGCATATCTAGCTACGAGAGATATTCATGTATGATAACGATATCTATAACTAGTAAATAATACTCTTACCATAGTATTCAGCATTTAGTTGTTAGATCTACAGAAAAGAAGTGAGAGAGTCCTCAGTGTTACGTACCTGCGCCTGGTGGTGGCCTGTAGAAGCACGATCACTAAGACCACGGCAAAACAAACGCAGAGCAGTACGGTCAGCATCTTCTCTATATATGCCGGTCTTCAGCTTGTCTATGTTAGCTGGCGCAGTCTCTGTGCACTTTGGACCTGACAATTTATTGTCTTTTTTTGCTACTAGTTGTCCCTCTCTCTCTCCGACCTAGGCCCTCCCAGTTCGAGCGCAAGCCACTCGTAGAAACAAGCACACGATGGCTTTATTTAGTAGTCTGCACAGTAGTCTAGCTAATCAATGCACGCCTATCAATCAATGAAAACTGGTTTATTCGTAACAAAAAGGCGTTGCAGCCAGAGGCTGAATTATGATTGCAAATATTCTGCAAATTTCACAGTTAAAAAGCGTATACAATATAATGTTAGTACAATAAATATGATACATTTCTATACATAAGTACTAGATTTGGTTATGCATTGCTTGCATAAGCCGGCCTCGACTTCTTCCAGCTCATTTTAAATTGGTAGTGTTCAGGAGTGGCAGCAGCGATGGTACAGGAGGACTATTCTTAAATCTAACAGTACGACTAACAGGCAGAGTTAGCCCATTAGAGTTTCTGAGCGACCGTCCGGTTGTTAGTATTCTCGTAGCGGGTATCAAGTCACTAGCTATTCATATCTTCATCATTCATCTTTTCTTCAAAAATCCCACAGCAGTTCCTGTCCAGTATCTGCTAAGTCCCATGGAATGTTAAGATATGGACTCCATGTTGCATACAATGTACAGTATTTACTGATCGAAAAGTTATTAGAGTTTTGAACTTCGCTGTATAAAGTGTGTTACATACAAAAGTGGTTCATAGTGGGAGCCTTTATTACTCCGTGAAGGAGGTCAGGACCTCCGGACGGAGTGTTGTGATCGGCTGATTTTTCGTGTTCGCAGTCAAAACACTGGGTTCTCTTTGTGTAATCGGCACGCAATTTTATACGCCGTCTGCGGGCATGCCCGTGTTGATGCACGAATTTGTATTTTTGCCGTTGCTGCTTTCGCGGTCAATGTAATATTGTAGACGCACCCCTACAATTACGAGGCGAATTGGAATGGTCCAGAAAAACGCGTTGTTTGGAATAGCAGTGGGGGGTGGAACTTCATGCAGATACGGGGTGGTTTTGATAAGTGGTTCCAGATGTTTTTGCCCGTGGTTAAGAGATGGCAAGTTTTTTGGAAGATGTTCGCAGCCAAAACGCATTCTTCCGTAGGTCGCATTTCTGTGTAATTTCGCATGTGGTGTGGCATTATGTCCGGGATGATGCACGTCTTTTTATTTTTACCGTAGCTGTTTTGATATTGGAGTAAATGCCTATTTTCGAAACATCCCCATTTCGTTGAAATGTTTTCGTCCGTTTATGGTTTATGTGACCGGTAGTTGTAAGTCGCGGTCACGCTGATGGGGACGGACATGTGGGGTGGTCAGTGGTCAGCATTACGAAATGTAAATACCGATGACGTAATCCTATCGATTTCGAACTGGTCGGCTGTGGCGACCTAGTGGCGGCGTGTATTTAGTCACGTGGCAACTGGCCGGTCGTCCTAGCAACGAGCATGCTGGCCGCTTCTCTGCCAATGTTTTTGGGTTGGGCCGCTCCATAGTGTTAGTGGAGCAGCTCTTTGTAAACATGGACAATATTTTTGAGCAACCCATCAATGTGTTCTGCCTCGTGGTCGGATGTGGTCTGGGGCTGGTAAACCGCACATACTAGTAGATCGGGTAATTTTATGATTTGTTAGTTGTAAAGGCGTCTTGTAGTATGAGCCGGTATATGAAGAAGTAGCCTGTGTTACACAATCATGCTTTCGGCCGGATTGATGTGCAACTGTTACTAATTGCAGGGACTGCGCTAATGCCGACCAGTCGCGCTGTCCTGATACACCGCGAATGTACGAGTGTTCCCTGTAGACAGTCCCGGGAGCAGATTCCAGGAGCCAAACCAAAATACGTTCATGAACCGAGTCCAAAAAACCGAAACGTGAAAATCGGATGATCGGACCTGATGTACATTTCTCTTTCTGTAGATTGTACACACAATACACACATCTTTAGATAATCTGGCCATGGCAGGTAAAAAAAAAAGGAACCCTGAATCATACTAGATTAGCATAAATGCATGTTTATGCGTTCAAAGCAAGAAAATAAATTGTTTCCCGGTATTAATCTCTTGAAACACGGCGCTGAATATTGACGCAAAAATATTTCGGGCATCGCGCGCCCTTCCCCGTTGTTTAGACTGTATGCAAATCCAGCGTCACGTGTCGGCATTTTGCATCTCTGATTGGTTGTTGCGTCTTAAGATGACTGAGCCCACGCGCGTTTAAACAATTTTTCTTTGTTCGATTTATCACACTTCACAGAGAATTGTCGCCAATGGCTACTTCTTTTTGTTGCAATATATAATACTTCACGGAGAATTGTCACCTATGGCTTCTTGTTTGTGAGATTGTCAAAAACAATTGTCTACTTTCTACAGTTTAGTTAGTTCAGACCAAAGAATACATATATATTAACTCTATCTAGCCTTTCTATTCCAACAATGAGAAAAAAAAAACGTTACAGTGATATGCGTTGCAATTAAGCTATTGAATGTGTGTAGTAGCACAATACAAAACTTTTAGGCTCGTCATTAGTGACTATTATGTATATTACGTTAGTGGGGTCGTGTGGCGCAACGGCAGCCTGCGCGACTCGGAATCAAGAGGTCCCGGGTTTGAGTCTTGACATGCCACCAAACTTGTGCCCTTGGGAAAGGCAATTTACACGATTGTCCCCACTAGACTCAAGTGAAAATGAGTATTGTCTGCAGAGAATTCGTTTTCATGTTTATGGACACAACACCAGCAACAGCTGCCTCTGTTTCGCGTCACTGTTGCATTTTCAATAAATCAAATCAAAAATCAAACTATTAGAACCTCCGGACTGCTCTATCACAGACAGTCTTTTGTTTGTGTTCTTGTTACCAAGCCATTGCGCTATAGATTATACAAGCAACCAAAAGTCTAGTGTGGCTTTATTCAACAAAAGAGTGCGAATGCAAAACGTGCTAATAGTACAGTCATCATCATCCACTGTATTCTGCGTCTATAGTGGTACAATACATGTGGCTTACAATGTGGAGGTGTATAGGGTACTGTCATATTTTCAAAATTCGGTAGACGTCAATACTCACACATGCTCTCAGCTAACCGTGACCATGGCATCCAATTTTTTTCACCACACGAAATAGGAGATGGGTACTGACAACATTTTAACACTTCTGAGCCGTATCACACCAGCCTCTGTATCTGTATAGGCAGTATAACCGTCCGTTGGCAAAACAAATCAGCTTCTGTATCTGCATAGCCAGTATAACCGCCCTTTGGCATAACACACCAGCTTCTGTATCTGTAAAGCTGGTATTACCACCTTTCGTCAAAACACACGATTTTCTCTGGCACGCGGCGCGGTGGCACCTGGCTGATTAATTAAGGTCCGGTTGGGGTTCATCATACCCACCGCTAATGGACAAGGTGTTTAATACTTAAACACTGCCCGGGAGGATCTGGCAATACACTTGCCTGTCTGCATGTTATGCAAACATTTAGAAATTATTAATATTATATTAACACAAGGTCTGCATGTTATGCAAACATTCAGCAAATATTAATATTACATTAACACAAGGCCACGTACTGATTCAGGCAGCCTCTACCAAGCTTCGGTAGGCGACTGGAAAGAGTAGAAATTAGCACATTTTATATAGATTACATATTTTATATAAGAGGAGAAATCGACACATTTTATAACACACGATTTTCGCTGGCACGCGGCGCGGCGGCACCTGGCTGATTAATTAAGGTCCGGTTGGGGTTCATCATACGCACTGCTAATGGACAAGGTGTTTAATACTTAAACACTGCCCGGGAGGATCTGGCAACACACTTGTCTGTCTGCATGTTATAGAAACATTCAGAAAATCAATTTTACATCAACACAAGGCCACGTGCTGATTCAGGCAGCCTCTACCAGGCTTCGGTAGGCTACTGGAAAGAGCAGAAATTGGCACATTTTATTCGTATCCTGTATTAATTTAGATCAGTAGATAAAGTAAATATTACATCTAACGATGTGAACATGACACACCTAACAAATACCGGAATGCCCACTTTTTTTGTAATATTCACCAGATTTACCCTGTCTTCTACAAACATTACACAAAGAAGACATGATACTTTGATAGAAGCTCTTTGTGGCATACATGTTCAAGCTACATATAAACATATTTTCTAAGAAAGTTTCGTTTATTGTAAAGTTACAAGAATAACACAAAACTTCGTTTTCTCTGTGCGGACATCGACCTTTAGGCAAACTGGGCCCTCTAGCTATGGCCAGCCAATTCTCCTGGCCAGCTTCGGTATCTTCGAGTACGACTTCCTTCTGGAGTCGCTGGAGTAGACGCCGCGGCCGTCAAACCCGACTCCCAGGAACAGTCTAAAATTGCAATTTTTTCCGTTTAAGTACAAAGATATACCCACCGCTTAAGCATAACATAAATATCACAAAAATTGAGAGGAATTATTACATGAAAAACAACAAGAAGTGCCCCTTAATAAGATGAGAAAACTTTCGTTGAAACGCCTTATCCTCTTTAATTAAAGCACAATGTTCAAGGCATCGTAGCGAAAGCTGTGCACAAATGCAATCATTATCAAGTACAAATTACAAACTTATTGCATACTGATACATTTTTAAAAAGTACCATTTCGTTGGAGGGGAGCTTAAAAACATTTATTCTTCCCTTTCTAACAACAAAACCTCAACTATGTTTCAAGACACCTTTTGAGCATTCAAAAGATTAACCAGTTGCGTCATTTATAAACACCATTTTTTTTATTTCTTCACGGCCTTATATATCTATTCCTGCTACTTTATATTGCCTCTATATAGCTGTGTTGGCTTAGTTGCCTGACATAGTAGTTTCTCTAGAGTTGGCCTCAGACATCAAATAGTTTTGATAAGTACATTCCGTTAGGAACATCCATTTATCATATTAATAGTTGCCGTCCATTGCCACAACTCCAAATCTAATGCGAGAGCAGGCCCCCAAAACAAGATTCCTACATTCCTACTCATAATTTTGACATCATGAACCCTGTTAAACATTAAACAAGAATTCCGTCCATAACCTTAA